GCAGATGTATCCCAGGTGCTAGGCAGGACTCATGCCAATGTGTCACAAGGCGACCTGACTGCTCTACCACGTGGCAAGAAGGAATACACTCAAGGCCTGGAATATGAGACAGACGAGTTCGGTAATAAGATCCCTATCGGCAATTTCAACTACGATGGAGACCCTCGCGAAATTGACCAAGGCGAAGATCCAGAGGATGGCTACGACGATGGCTATTACAATACGCAAGACGTTCCCCCGCCTCTGAGATATGTCCCGTACCAGGCGGGCCTGCGTGGCTTGAGCCCAATTCCAAGCGTGTCTGGCTTCACAGAAGCTGATGGAGAAACGCCGAACAGGAACTCACGGGGCGACGCCTATGGATCCATCAAGTCTCATCGCTCGCTGCAGTCTCTTGACTCTGCCCCTGGCAACGTCGATGCGAGTCAAAGAGGCACCGTCTACTCTGAAAATTCTCAGATGGGACAGACGGCTGCAGGAAAGGCTGTTCGCCCGATTGCTGCTACCCCAAACATCTTTCATCCAGCCATTGCGGCTGAGTCTGCCGTCGCATCCCTGATTGATGGGTCCATGCTTGACCAGTCTGTCCTAACAGGCGTCTATAGCGGCGCGGGAGATTCCAATCTCTCATACGATGATCGACTCAAGCTTCAAAGCAGCCGGGGTGCCAGCCCAGATAAGCGTTCTGGCATTGATCACCAAGAATACGAAGACGATCGTCAACCAACCCCTGGACAATCTCATGGATACATGGAGTATGAGCTTGATGAGAATGGACGAAAAGTCCCTCGCACAAAGTACCGCCAGTCTCCCACATCATCTGAAGCCGCCATCACCGCAGGCGCCGTCGGCGCTGCCGCTGCCGCTCTAAAGGCCGCTCAAGAGAGAAAGCAGGCCACCGTTGAGGATGTTTCCGACGAGAACTATGAGCCGGCCGGAGTGTTCCGCAACAAGTCATTCAAAGAGCGTGCTATGGAAGGCTGGAAGCCACGAAACACTCCCACTCATAGCTTGGACAGACTTGATTATGAGGCTGCGCCGCAATTGGACGCCAGCAGTCTTCCCGATCAAGACAACCCCATGCCTGAGATTGGCTACATTGACTCAGAGTTGCAAACCAACCCGTCGATTCTGAACGAAGACATTGCTCCTGGCATGTGGTCTGGCAAGGCGACACCTACAGAGTATGGCCAAGTCATTCCCAAGTCCAAGTCTTATGAGGAAATGAGAGATGACCACCTTGACGATGCTGCCCGTCTCAGTCGAGAGCCAAGCGGAGAAGTTGACGAGTGGCGGAGAACGTCTGCTGAGCGAAAGCGTGACACTCTGCTCACCAACCCGTATGAAGACGCTAGCCCCATTGTCAACCCCGAGCTCAACGACAACCTTCTTGGCTCTCGTGGTCTGGGGTTCAGCACTGGCAGCCCTGGATTCAAATATGATGAAGGATACATGTCCAACGGACCCAACCGAACTCCCGATGCTGAACCCAAGGGCAAGGCTCTCAGTCTCGCAGGTCCATCCAAGTTCAACATGGGGAACGAAGATCCATTCTACGCATCTCAGGGCAACCGCGCTCTTAGCGGCATGTCCCAAGGCATGGCCTCTCCATTTTACGATGCTTCGACGGGTGGAGGTATCGATCGAATTGAGAACAAGGATATTGTTGCCTTGATGCAGCATGTAAGTACAATCAACAAAGAAAACTCTAAACCCTATGCAGCAGAATTGCTAACATACTTGTTCCCTCCTAGCTCATGGTCCGTGATGCCCAGCGAAGCGCTCGTGACACGGAAATTGTTGCTCTCCTTATGAACGCTGCCATTGAGATGCGCAATTCCTTCCGTGACTTGAAGGAGCTTGTTGAAGACACCAGTGATGACGTGATCTTTGCCAATGCTGAAAACACTGAAAAGCTCCAAAAAGCCATCAACGGACCAAGACCTTACCCTGGCTCTCGCTCTGTGCAAAGCACGTCCATTGCCACTGTGGATGAGATCGCAGTGAAGAAGAAGAACTTGTGGAAACGCGCTCTCCAGGGCCTCAGTGCCAAGGGCACCAATGATCTCACTCGCATTGAAGACATGCTGATGCAGCTTCTTGGAGAAGTTGACGTTCTCAAGACCCAGACAGCCCCGCCCATGTCTGCTAGAGTCTCTACCAGCGGTGCAGGACAGTCATTCGACAACCTGCAGCCGGAGGGGCAGTACGAGCACGACAAGGGCTATGAACCCGAAGGCAATTCGACCACTAGCCATGGTAGCCAGTCTCAATCGCAGGGGCAGCGTAAGTTCTCTGATCATCGCATCGACACCGTGCCCGAGCACGAAGATGAGTATGAGTATGATCATCCGACTCCGACCGCAGAGCGAACTCAAATCATCCCTCCGGTGAGCGTGAGCCCCATGAGTCGCGAGATACACCGTAGCGGCTCTGTCCCTCCGGACGGCGCACAGCACGTCTCTGACCAGGGCTACAACCAACCTCACAGCGCTGACAACACTCCCCCTCGGAGTGACAAGGGACGAAAGGGCAAGTCGAGCAGCACCAGCTGGTTGCCTAAGATTTCCCGCTGGTCTGGAACGACAGCATCTACCGTAAGCAAGGCGCTGCGTGGCGGTGGCGGCAAGAAAGATGCCAAGAATGACGAAATGCTGCAATCTCGATCAGGATCAAGCATGGCTTCGCGTGATGATCTATATCCTCTCGACACCTATGGTGATGATAGACTTCCGGGCGGATTCCCCGAAGCACGCCTGGCACCGCCACACGAGATTCATCACGAATCGTCAGCACCTATTGTGCCAAATTTCACCACGCCAGAGGATCCAAAGTACAAGGCGCACCGTAACTCGCTCAATCTCATGCACCCTCAGCCGAGAACAGGCCAGACAGAGCGATTCCGAACCGCCCTGGAGCATTCTGCTCAAGATTTCGATGCTCCGGCGACACCCAGGTCTGCTGATTGGGGCGGCTCAATGAACAGCCTTAACCGCCTCAATGGCAACGCTAATGAGCGATATGGAAACGAGGGCGGTGATTACTGGCCTGCTGCCCTGCAACAGCAAGGATCTGCCCCAGCCCGGCCGCCCAAGGAGCCCCTGAACGGCTCAATTCAGCAGTCACCACCGCGGTCTACAAGAATTTCAGCGCTGCAGAAGGGCAGCCCCTCGGGTCCTCAGGGCTACGAAAGCGGCTACGGCAGTGGCACCGGCACTCACCCTAGCCAGTACAACAGCACCAGCCCCAAGCCGGAGAATAAGAACTTGAACGCTGCCCTTGGCATCCCGTCACGCAGGCCCAGTGGCCCTCGAGCAATGACACCCAAGAGCCCAGATGATGTGGCAAGAGAAGAGAGACGACGAAAGAGAGGTATGTTGTGATGATGAACATAACTACTGCTGTGGACTCGGAAATGAAAGAGTTTGCTAACAATCCATGACTTTATAGACACGTTTGGCAGCATTAATAGCCACATTAGCCAAGTCAGCGAAGAAACGGACACATTCTAGGCGAAATCGTGCCGTTGTTTTGGGCCTCGACCTCTTCCGCAATTTGATAACGCAGCTCAAAGAAAAGAGCGATGATTGTGATTTTCTCTTTATTGTCATTATTACATACACCATGGCTGTATACATGGGATACATGCTACACAATACCCGTAAAATGGTTTTTCGTTACTTGAAACAAAGCTAAAAGCGCATGAAAAAGACTCCAACAAAAGGGGAGACCAAGGGGGGAGGATGGTGGATGGAGGTGGAGAGAAGAAAATCGCATTTGCCTGGCTATTATGCAAGGCAACTTGCGAGCAATATTACATAATGCCACAGGAACCGCTTCGAGAGAAGCTGGCGGGAAGGATTTATGGGAACGAATGGATTTTGAAGATGGACTTTTGCTTTGCGAAATTATACCTACGATGAGCTGTTTTAGCCAGCATCGTTTTGGTTTTGGTTTTTTTCTTTTCGCTTCTTGATATTTTTTGTACCTCTCTTTCTTCGTTCTTGACGACGACATGACATGATTATTTTGATTCTAGAGCGGAGCGAAGGCATTATTTGTGCTGGTCTTGATCTGGACGATGCACTGCTGGCATTGAAGACGAAAGAAAGGAGATGAGACGAGACGATGTGCTCCCTCGGCCTGTACGATGGCGGGAAGCTGGCAAGAGGCGTAGCATAGTGTGTTCTTCTCTCAATGGCACAAATGATGCATGATGGCAGTGGAATTGTTGCCATGCTCTTTCTATCTGGACTTCTATTCGTGCTGCGTGGTAAGCCGTATATGCATGTGTGAGCCTGTGTCTCATGAAGTTGTGAGACAGAGGTCCTAGGCCTAAGTCCCCCATGCATGCAGCAGTATTCAGACACGTTGTTGATCACTTGTTGAAGCCAGCGTGTATCACTGTGTGACGGGATTCGTAGACCAATCGTGAACTTCGTTTGTATCTCCCTTCCTTCCACACCGGTATTACTGCACATTTACATGTACCGTCTTACGTTGATCTGCAGCCGGAGGATGCCTGTGGCGCCGCTAAAAATAATAGGTCGGATAACGTCCCAGCTGAAGAATTACTTGCGGATGGGGGAATGTTTTCCCACCCACTTTCTTTTCTTATTCATTATCTTACTGTAACAAGAGCATCGTTTCGCATCTGTTATCTATTGCATTGCGGCGGAAGCTGCAATGACTTCTCTGTTATTTCTTTGTTTTAATATCCTGTTGCTTTGAGCATTTGGGCGAAAGCGAGCTGTTTTCTACCTATTTCAAAAGCCGTTCTGCAAGGGGTGAGCGTTCTCATTTTTTTCTGAATAATAGGTAATCGCCTAGCTGACCTTATCGCTTATTACTTGACTCAACTTAGGCCTTTTTTGCTCTTACACATGTGAATTTCTCACCCTCTCTCTTTTTCTGTCCTCTCTCTTTTATCTTTTCATTTCAAATACATAAGCGCTGGAGTGAAGTACATCAACCTCATTCTCTGCTCAACTTTGGGCGCAATGGCAGAGGCGACGGCTTCTGGGACCTCGACGGGGTTGACGTCGAGTCCGGTGGAGGTGATTGCTGGAGAGAAGAAGCCTGCGACATCGGCCAGGCGCGATTACAAGGGATTCGTGGCGGGAGTGTTTAGCGGGATTGCAAAGCTGACGGGTATGTTGTTTTTATCCTCTTGTGTGTGTGTCATAATCCAGAATTTCCTTTTTCTATGCTTTTTGTTTTGTGGTGGAAAGAGTCTATACGCATGAGAGACGGTTGTTTGCAGTTGATGATGACTTCTTACTAATTCACCACCAGTCGGCCATCCCTTCGACACTGTCAAAGTCCGGCTTCAAACAACGCAGTCCTCGCGCTTCAGCGGCCCTCTCCAATGCGTGCTGCAGACCATCCGCAATGAGGGCGTGACGGGCCTGTACAAGGGCGCCACGCCGCCTTTGGTCGGGTGGATGTTTATGGACTCGGTCATGTTGGGATCTTTGAATGTCTACAGACGACTCATGGCGCAGCATGTCTTTCACGCAGATTCGTGGACGCCAGGAGCTGGATCAGGATCAGGGTTCGGGCTTGGAAACCTGTCGTCATCGCTCAGGTCATTGGGGGCTGGACAGACATCCAGATCTTCCTCATCATCATCAGAGCCGTCGTATCTGCCCCCTGTTGGACACGGCATCGCGGGCATCATGGCTGGCTCGACCGTCAGCTTCATCGCCGCGCCCGTGGAGCACATCAAGGCCCGCCTGCAGATCCAGTACGCCGCGCGCAAGACCGAGCGCCTGTATTCGGGCCCCCTCGACTGCGTGCGCAAGATCTACGCCCACCACGGCGTGCGCGGCGTCTACCACGGCCTGTCCGCCACGCTGCTCTTCCGCAGCTTCTTCTTCTTCTGGTGGGGCAGCTACGACGTGCTGTCGCGGGCCCTGCGCAAGAACACGAGCCTGAGCAACCCGGCCATCAACTTCTGGGCGGGCGGCCTGAGCGCGCAGGTGTTTTGGCTGACGAGCTACCCGAGCGATCTTGTCAAGCAGCGCATCATGACGGATTCGCTTGGTGGCGGGCTGGGCGATGGCGAGAAGCGGTTTGGCAGGTGGCGGGATGCGGCTGTGACGGTGTATCGCGAGTCTGGGTGGAGGGGATACTGGAGGGGATTCTTGCCGTGCTTTTTGAGGGCGTTTCCGGCGAATGCGATGGCGTTGGTGGCTTTTGAGGGCGTGATGAGGACTTTGCCGTGAAAAGGTGAAAGGGGGGATGCTGGTTGCCTTTGACATATAGATACTTGATGCTCTTTTTGGGTTGGCATTGAAGATACCTCGTTTGCTTTTACGTCTTACAACTAGGTATGATGACTGCATATGAATATACATGTATAGATCATAGATTTCATATTTGATTCTCTACGCCAGCGTCCCAGTTAATGACAATTGGAATCTATGATTTGAATCATCACAGAGCATTACTATCACACAGCAAAGATTGAAGGGAGAGAATTAAAGTGTTTCATGTAGGTCCACTCAAAATGGCCGGTCAATTTATTCCACGACCAAGAAGAATCCAACAGCATCCACACGCTGGCGACAGGCTATTTCACAAGCCCGCACGTGAGTATATAATATCTTCCCATCAGAAAGAATATTCTCCAGATTGCCGTCAAATTCTTCCCAAGTTCCCGAATCTCATTTCGTCATTTTCCCAAAATGGCTCTTTTGTTTTCATCCTAGTGATCGGAAAAAGAAGCCGTTTACTCGTCATCCTCATCAGCCTCGTCGTTGACGACGTTGAAGAACTTGAGCTCGTAAACACCGCGGGAGGTGGAGACGACACGGAGCCAGTCACGAAGCTGCTGCTTCTTGAGGAACTTCTTGGTCCTATTTGTAATGTTAGTGAGATGGCGGTTGAAATAGGTAGTCCATATAAAGAAAAAGAAAAAACGTACAGGTACTTGAGGTAGCGGCCAGAGAGCTCGTTGTGGGCAACGATCTCGATCTTGCCGTCGGCAGAGGAGGAGATGACAATGTTGTCGCCCAGGTTGTTGGTGCGGCCCTCAACCTTGATGTGGTCCTGGAGGAACTTCTCGAAGGCGGAGACATCGAAGATCTTGTCGCTGGCAGGCTGGGAAGCGTTGATGATGAACTGTAACAAGCAGCATTATTAGCATCTTCCGTCCCGGGGGAGGGGGGGGGATGAATCAGGGTCTTGTTTGAATTGGTTAACTCACCTTCTTGGTCTGCTTCTGGGCCTTGCCCGACTTCTTCTATATTCATGACATTCTCAATCAGCCTACTGTTTTTTTTTTCTCCGACGGCGGCGATTCTCTCTCCCTCAACCTTCATCTTAATCCAAAGTAGAAAGACATAGAGAGAGGAAGGGCAATCATGTCCGCCTACAGCAAAGCGACTTTTTCAAATGTCATTCCAAGCAATACATACAGTGATGGGAGCCATTGTTGAGATTGGTGAGGATGTCTTTGTGAGTGGACGTGAAGAACGCAAAGAGATCGAATCCTGCGCCTTTTTGGGTATGGAAATTTTTTGCTGGAGTTGAATGCTAATGCGCCTCTGCTCCTCGCGAAATTTTTTGGTGGGCTGTTCGAAATGGGACCACACTGCCAAATTAGGGCTGGAGCGGATCAAGGAGCGCCGAGGCTCCGAATGGACCAAGTCGCCTTGCGATGGGTTATCACGTGATGTTGTAGGTTGATAGCCTCCTCGCCTCCTGAACGACTTGCATAAACCTAGAACCAGTATTATTCGCCGTAGAATCAGGAGTTAACAAGTCAACACGATAAAAGGCAGCACTTAGAAAGATCAGAAACTTTTTGATGCTCCGGCCAAGTCACAGAAAGCACCACTCAGCTTCAAAGTGTCCAAGAATCAATATAGTCCATTTTAACCGTAATCGAACGTAGCTATCATAAAACCAGCCTAATGGCCAGGTAGTAGTCATGAAGAAAAATAAACAAGCCATTCACACATAATTCATTAGATCGTTTCAACAAATCATCCCCTTTAATCCATCGCTGTTGCTCTTGCCATATGCCCCATTTCTCTACCCTTCAATTAAACAATCTCTTAAACACGCCCCTGAACCCTCCAGACTTCTTCTCTTGCTCTCTAGCCTCTTTGGCATCTCTCTGACGCCTGCGTTCATTGCGAGCTCGTCGAGCAGAATCGTCACCTTCATCCAGCGGCCCTGATTGCCTAGGAAGATGTTCGGGCCGACTTCCGCGAGGTCTATCGTAGGTGGCCTCGGATAACCGACGCTCACGAGGCCGGTGAGCATCCCGGTCTCGGGTTCTGGGCCTCGCGCCTTCTGGAAGTGAAGACTCCCGTATTGGTACGAAGATAGACTTGTCTGGAAGTGGTGGCGACGATGATCTGCGAACCACTCCCTGGGCATTCTTCATTTCGAAAAATCTCTTTTCAGGAGCGGGGAATCCAGAGTCCTTCTCAGGAGATTGCGACCGCCGCATGAAGTCATCTCGGGAGTAATGAGAGTTACTGGCACGCTGGCGAAAGGAGCGGCTACGATGGCGCTTGATGTCTTCTGGAGGCAGGTCGAACCCCACCTCTTTGCCCTTGCGCTCTGTAGATGCAGATGCAAGTGCAGGGGCAAAGGCAGGGGCAGGCTCCGGTGCCCTTTCTTGGCTATCGTCAGTAGCTGGGAATTTCTCAGTCTGAGGCTCAACAGGCTTTTCGTAGAGTTCACGTTCGCGGCGTTCGCGTTCGCGGCGTTCTCGACGCTCATGCCGCTGTCGCTCACGTCGTTCGTATTTCTCAGAGCGGTCATAGCCGTCGTCTTGTAAGTCACGGTCATCGAGCAGCTGAGGTGGTTCGGGTCGCTCAACCTGCTCAGAACGTTCAATGCGCTCTGAGCGCCGAGTGCGTTCCGGGCGATCTGAGCGTTCGCGATCTGAGCGCTCGAGACGTTCAGCTCGTTCAACACGTTCAGCGCGTTCAGCTCGTTCCTGTCGTTCAGCTCGTTCTGGTCGTTCAGCTCGTTCCTGTCGTTCAACCTGATCTTGATATTCAACACGCTCTTGGCGTTCAACGCGCTCAGGTTGTTCGGCACGCTCTGGTCGTTCAGCACGCTCTGGTCGTTCAGCATGTTCCGAACGCTCCATACGATCTGAGCGCTCAGCACGTTCATGACGATCTGAACGTTCACGGCGATCCGAGCGTTCACGACGGTCACGGTGTTCACCTCTTTCGCGGCGCTCGCTATGTCGTTGAGGCCGATCATATCGTTCGTGCCCTTCATACACCTCACGCCCTGTTTGCTGTACCTCGTTCATGTCGTAACGCTCAGGTTGCCGAGCAGCACGGCGCTGCGCTCTGCGCTGCTCGCGTTGCTCACGTTGCTCCTGAGCTTCCTGCTCATCAGGAATTTTATATCTCCGGCTTGAAGGTACAGGAGCTTCTCCAACAACTCCGCTATGGCGTCGTCGAGGAGTCCGAGGTGGCGTGTCCAGCTTAGATGACCCAGATCCAGGCCTTGAAGCACCATTGTCCTGGGTGGAACGACGGTAGTTCGACCCCTGAGATTCGTGTGAGCGGCGTTTACTCTCTCTGTTCTCTCTATATTCTCTGCCCTCTTCCTCACCACGATTTCTGCTAGAATGAGAAGAATGGCGAGAATGACGGTACTTGTGGCGTCTTTCTCGATCTCGGTCACGGTCACTGCTCGACGAGATGTAACCCTTTGATCTATCCTCTGTGAAAATGTCAGCAATGGATTTATGAAGATCCTCCTCAACATCACTATTACTCCTGCGTGTAGTAGGGACGGCTAGAGATTGAAGTTCCTCCGAATCCAACATCATCTGATGTCCCAGATGAGGATGGTCCACGCCGCTGCGGAGGCCGGCAATCGAAGGACCGGCAACAGGTCTCAATGCCTCTGCAGTGGTGTTGGTGGCCACAGCAGCTGCAACTGCGTCATCATCAGCTTCATGAAGTGGAATCTTCTTGTGACGCAGCATTCGAGCCCTCCGCCTGTCAGTCACAGTCATTGCCTTATCGGGAACTACAGCGGCAGGAGTCGGCACTTTGAACTCATCATCCAATAACACGGAAAGAGACAGCGGAGGCGGAGTATCTTGAACCATTCGATCATAATCAACGGGAGAGACCAGATTCATCCATTTCGGGAGGTATTGACCGTCGGCGTTGCGAGCAGGGTATCGTAAAGGGGGCACGTGGCTAGTTGCGGCAGCGATTTCTAAGGGGATCATAGTTCGATCCAATTCGTGTGATGGCATTATTTCTCTCTTCGTCATAACTTCCGCCCGGTCTCCATCGTCGGATTGAGCGACCACTGTTGCAAACGGGGGTCCATCAAGCACTTCCCTGTCGATGCTAGGGCTCAATCCGGGCATGGTGTATGCACTTATTCGTCCGTCCTCTTCCCGCCGAAGAACTGGGTGCGCAGCCACACGAACGGCGCCAATAGCCAAATCGTAAGCGCCTCCAAAATACTCGACTTGGGCTACATCCTGTAAGTTTGTGTTCTCTTGAATAGGCTCCGCCCTTTTCGTGATCTCTTTACTTGCCTGTTCGGGGTCCATGACTATTACTGCTTTGGTAGTGTCCATCTCGTTGGTTGGTCGTTGAGACGAGGTTTCCGGAGTGGACTTCGCAGCAACTGGCGTTTTAGACGTAGAAGGCTCAGCTGTCTCGGCAACAACTGCCGGTTCAGCTTCTCGCGTGGCAACAGGCTCTTCAGTGGGTTTCGTCACTTCGGGGACAATCTCTCTATGTGTCTCTTCCGGCTCAGGGACTTTATCCTCAGACTTGGGCGCTTCAGAAGCAACAACAGGCTCCTGGTGAATGACGGCAGCGGTCGCCACGGCGGCAGTAGCAGCCGTGGCAACTGCAGCTGCGCCAGCAATGAGAGCAACCTTGTCCGACTCCTCCTCATCTGGTAATGTTGTCTCAGCATTTTCCTTTTGAGAAATCAATGGCTCTGAGACGGCCTCCACATCAGGTTTGGTAGAAACAACAGGCACCTCCACAGCCGGGGTTTCAGCCCGTTCAAGCTCATCTCGCTTGAGATCTACTTTCTGCTCCTCTCGCAAGGACTGACTCTGAATGTCCGAAATGCCTTCCGAATGTAACTCCAAAACGCCGTGGTCCTTCGACTCCTCACCCGATGTGGAGTCACCAAACCGTCCCGAAATATCAACAGGGGTATCATGTAATGAATGCTGCTCCTCACCTTTCCTAACTCTCTCTACCACAGTATCCTTAATTTCCTCCTCTCTAGTCGCGGGTGCTTCCACCTCAGCAGCCAATGGCTGCTCGACTTCTTCCACCGGCTCTGGCACAATTGCCTTTTCAACTTCTACAACGGCAGGCGTTGACTCAGGTTCGACTACCGCAGCCTCCTCTGCTGGGACGATGGGAGTATCTTGAACAGAAGACTCTTCAACCACAGGAACCGGAGTGTGCGATTCTTCAGGCTTGGCTTCTACCTCCTTGTCAGCTTCAGCCACAAGTTCCTCAACATGAGAGGCCTTGGAGTCTTCAGTTAGCTCGGAAGCAGCCTGGACCTCCGATGTCTCCTCCTTGTCGGCCTCGTTAAGGGTCTCAGGTTCGACGGCCTTCTCAGCTTCAGCCGGAGCAATGACTTCGACCACTTCATCCAAGTGTTGCGCCTCTTCAAGAGCAGATTCGGCTGGGGTTGCATCGTGAGAAAGTTCCTTCTCTGTAGTAATTTCGCGCTCAGCAGCAGCCTCGGATTCAGTAGCTACCTCAGACTCCGTAATGTTAGCAGTGACCTCTGGCTCAGCGGCAACTTCGGATTCAGTAGCAGCCTCGGATTCAGCAGCGGTTTCGTGCTGGACAATAGGTTCGGAATCGGTAGCAACCTCAGACTCAGCAACAGCCTCAGATTCAGTAGCAACCTCAGATCCAGTAGCAACCTCAGTCTCGGCAGCACTTTCGTGTGGAGCAACAGGTTCGGAATCGTTGGTGACTTCGGATTTAGCAGCAGCTTCGGATTCAGTGGCGACATCAGACTCAGCAGCAGTTTCGTGTTGAGCAACAGGCTCAGAATCAATAGCAATTTCGGATTTAGCAGCAACCTCAGAATCAGCAGCAACCTCAGAATCAGTAACAATCTCTGATTCAACGGCGGATTCGTGCTGAGCAACGGGCTCAGACTCAACAGTGGTCTCGTGTTGAGCAACAGGCTCGGAATCGTTGGTGACTTCGGATTTAGTAGCAGCTTCGGATTCAGTGGCGACATCAGACTCAGCAGCAGTTTCGTGTTGAGCAACAGGCTCAGAATCGGTAGCAACATCGGAGTTAGCAGCAACCTCAGAATCAGCAGCAACCTCGGAATCAGTAACAATCTCTGATTCAACGGCGGATTCGTGCTGAGCAACGGGCTCAGACTCGGTAGCAACCTCAGACTCAGTAGCAACCTCAGAATCACCAGCGACTTCGGATTCGTCGACAGTCTGAGGCTCGGCAACATCCTTGTGGATGTCACTTTCGGTCTCAGCGGCCGTAATATGCTCGTCATGAGTAGATTCACTCTCAGTGGTTTCAGGCTTCACCTCTGAGACTTCCGATGCAGCTTCAGTAACTTCGGCCTCGGCCTCGGTGTTCTCAGTAGCATCTTCAGCAGGTGCCTCGATCTCAGAGTGGGTGGGTTGAGCAATCTCTGACTCATGCTTGGAGATTTCCGACTCGGTGACATCTTCGGCGGGGACGGAACGTTCCTCGGAAACCACAGACTCTTCACTATGAATTTCTTCGTGAGAGGTGTGCTCTAATTCAGAATGTGTCACTTCTGGCTCATGAGTAGTTTCGGCCTCAGCAACTACCTCATCCTTGTGCTCTTCGTGGGTATCATGAACAGGCTCACTCTCCTGGGCTTCGACATGCTCTTCGTAAGTCTCTTCTTTAGCAACCTCGTCATTGTTTTCATCAGCAGCCTTCACTTCTGAGCTGAGCTCGGAATCAGTAACAGGCTCAGCTTCTTCGACCTTAGCCTCTTCGTGATGAGGTTCTTCGTGATGAGATTCTTCGGCAGACACATGAGACTCAGTTAAGTTGTCACTAGGAGTCTCTTCGATGACTTCCTCCTTGTGAGCTTCTTCATGAGCTTCCTCAGCCTTGGTTTCAGCCTCCTCAACTACGGGCTCATGTTCAGTGGCAGGCTCTTCGTGCTTCTCAGAGTCATCGTGCGCAGCGTCCTCTACAAGTGAATCCTTAGCTTCTTCAACAAGCTTAGCAGCTAGTGAGTCTTCAGTAGCATGCTCCTCGATTTCCTTGGCAGGCTCTTCAGTAGCTGCTTCGGCATCATGTTCTTCAGTGACTTCGGCATGCTTCTCTACTTCCGCAGACTTGTCATCGGATATGTTCGCCTCCTCGACATGCTTTTCCTCTTCCGAGTGATGCTCTGCCTCTTTGTTGTCGGTTTCAACCGGCTCAGGGACCTCTTTGTGCTCCTCTTGGTGCTCAGCGGGCTCCTCTTGGTGCTCAGCGGGCTCCTCTTGGTGCTCAGCGGGCTCCTCCTGGTGCTCAAAATGCTCTTCCTGATGCTGAACAGGCGCTTCCTGGTGTTCAGAGTGCTCCTTATGCTCAACAGGCTCCTCCTGATGTTCAATATGCTCTTCCTTATGCTCTTCTTGATGCTCAGCGGGCTCCTCCTGGTGCTCAACGGGTTCCTCAACTGGCGCTTGGGTATCTTCTGTGTGAGCAGCCTCTTCGATAGGCTTCTCATCGTGTGCCTCAGCGACATCATGAGACTCTTCAACAGGAGCATCTTCATGCTCAGCAGACACTGACTCTGACTCCTTAACAGGCTCAGTTTCCTCTTGAGGAGCGTGGTCGTGCTCCTCCTGGTGTGTCTGCTCGTGCTCATGCTCGTGCTCGTGCTCCTTGGCGACTTCTGACTCTGGTTCCACGTGCTCAGGCTCTTCGGAGGCGACGGCAACCTCGTCGGCAGGTTTAGCCTCATCTTCAACAGCCTTGGCTTCTTCGGAAACGGGAACAGCGTCATTGGACTGCTCAACATCAGCAGAGCTCTCCTCCTTCACAGTTTCAAGAGCAGCCTCGGATTCGGGAGCCGCAGTCACGGCCTCCTCTTCCACTACCGGTGTAGCCTCATCGTCGCCTCGTGCCTCGTCTGTGTCCGGGGGTGACGGGGGCTGGGCAGGGTCAAGACCACCATCAGAGGTCACATCTGTTTCGGAGTTCTTGGGGCCGTTCTTCTTCTTCTTCTTTTTCTTCTTCTTATCCTTCTTTGCCTCGTCTTCGACCACCAGATTTGATTCCTCTGGAGGAGGGGTAACTGTTCTGTCTTGTTCCGCCGTCTCGACTGTTTCTCCTCCCTCAGCCTTGATGTCAACAGCGGCGATGCTGTCGGCGGACTCAATGGGTGAGGTAATTTGGCTCTCGCTCTTGTTCTTCTTCTTCTTTTTCTTCTTCTTGCTCTTAGAAGAAGTCGGTTCGGCCGCAGCGTCTCCCTCTACCTCGCCCTCTGGGTGATCTTCGGCACCCGCATCTTGAGAGGTTTCAGTCTCTGTTCGAGAATTAGCGTTAGATATTTTCAGATCAATGCCCCCTGGGTTTGTTGCTAGCTACCTTTGTTGTCTAATGACAATTTTGAACCAAGCTCGGAGTCATTCTGTTCGAAATGCTGCATATTGAAAAATTCTCTGTTAGCCCCCACTAGACATTATTCGATTTCTTGGGCGGCGCTCATACATCCTGTGCCCTCTCGACCTCTGAGAGCACGGCTTGATTATCGACCTCCATACAAGCTGCACTGCGATGAAGTTATTCGACAATGCAGGTGGAAGACGCCAATAACGAAACAGCCGGTCTCTTATGCCTTGACGCTTCAAGGCACGACTGCTTGTGGCTGCTAAAAGCGAACGCAGCAGCCTATTGGATAGGGGTGATGACGGGATTCAAACGTATAGTTTGAATGTACGATGCAGGAGGTGATTTTTTTTTCCCTCTCTAAAGCCTGCGAACAGGTGGGAAGTCAGTAAAGTCTTTTGAGATGACACCACTGGGAGCCTTGTTTCCTCGAGCTGCATGGGCCCATTCAAAAAAAAAAAAAATGCACGTCCCATGTCAGAAAAAAACACCCATGACCGATCACAAGCGAACCACAGAAGATTGACGATGCGGAGCCTAGCAAATCCAGAGAGCAGTTCCGACCCAGACCCCCTTGCTACAAAGATCAATATCCACACCACGACCTGATAGCACCAGGCGAAGCCCCAATTGGAGAAGAAGGTGATTTCGCCCGCCGCGCTGCACTACGATTGGGCTCAGCAAGCGGCCTTTTCGCCAGCCGGCCGCATTTGCGGGTTGAGACATGACTTGAACCCGCACGGGCTGACAGGAAAGCTGCCCGACGCAACAGCGTTGGAACATGCATGATCAACCAACGAAAAGTGGGATTGGGCCGCGGCGGGCAAATCAGACACACAGGCAAGATGCAATCATGAGCAGGCGGACAGATGAGCTGGCTAGCTGTGGGCCGAGTGGCTCCAGCTTTCTGAGCGATATCAACGAGCGCCCACCACGAAAAGACCTAGCGCCTGAGGATGCGTCCGCGAAGGCTGGATGGACATGCATGTTGTGACTGGTTTCTCTCCCCCGGCGTGCTACGTGGCTCGCCTCTTGATGCCCCGCGGTCGTTCTCATGCAGCTCGACCCCGGAATCTATCGGCACTGAGCAATTGCGGCAATTACCTGGGAGGACGGTTCCTTGCTGGATCAAATCTCTTCATCTCTCATGGCGAGCATAGAGAATGACCTGCTTGGGGGACATGACTTGCAGAAGGGGGTCCTTATTCTCTCGAAGCATAGGGGGAATTTAAATCGCACCACAAACTAACCGTTAAGCCACCTCGAGCTACTCGTATGGTCGCAGTGCTACGGCGATGGAGCCACAGCCGACACTTGACAGGGATTGTTCCGCGGGAGAAATTTCTCAAGAAAAAAATGGCGGCTGGGGATCTTGTCGACGGAGCTGCTCAAAAGATATCAGCCGACAGTCACTACAAGCACACGGCGTAGGGATCAAAACAATCCATCACAGTTATTGCGACCGAACTTTCTAGGAAAGCAGTCTTTTGCCTTCGTTTGACCCTTTCTTCCTTTCTCTTTGTTTCCTTACCTTGACGAGTCTGTTTCAACCAGAACTGCGCTATCATGCAAGGCGTGCCAATAACGGGAAATGCAAGAAAAATTAGTGGTGTCTAGTTGGCGGTGTGCGGTGGCTGGACGGGAGAGAAGAGAAAAAGAGTGGGGGTTAGCTGTAGCGCCAATCCTCGATGTAGTTTTGGGAACCACACGAGAGATGCTTCACCGCGTAGATTTTTGGGGGAGGAGTCTTCCTTTCTGTGGTCGTCTGCGGTTTGCTGTTGTTTTTTTAAATCTCCTCCGTTTCTTCACTCTTGGCGCCGCAGTGACATAATGGTGGATCTTAGCTGTGATGAGGGGAGGGAAATAGGCAGCTCTATCTTGTCGGTGATGGCGAGCGAGCTACCAGCATGATGGTGATGATGTAGGCAGTGGTACGGCATTGAAGCACTAACAACTTAAAGTCCGCCGAGAGACATCAATATGCTGCTTACTCGTACAGTTGACTATGCATCAGATATCCTGTTTGCTCACCTGTACGCCGCCAGCGTCTGATTCACAACTGCAGAGTAGCATCTCCTCCAACCACTGACTTAATTGCGTGCATAATGTCCAGCCCTCATGTAAGCCCAGACCCCTCACATCCGACAAAGTACAGCGCCCATGGTGGTAGTATCAGTCAACTCCCCCCAACACTCTTTCACGTGTATCTACGCTCCGAATCTTCTCATTCGCGTGCGAGTAAGTTCTGTACATGCAGACATACATCCGGTGTGCATGCATCTACATTAGCACTGCATATCGTGGGCCACCTCGGAGAAGAATGGTCGAAAAATGAAAGAGGTGGTCGGCCCAGGCTCAGGCTAAAGAAGCAGTCTCTCTCTAACCACCAGATCTCTTCCAATTACGGGTGTTTCCAACCTCCTCCTCCGTTGTAGTGTTAGCCTGACATGGGGGCTTAAAGAGAGAAAAAAAAAAAAGGCCGCAGAAAGCGCTGCGGCAAATGAAATTCTCTGAAAAAAAAAAATCAGTGGAAAGAAACATAGAGTTCCTTTTCACCACCACTTAGCACTCATACTGTAGTATCTTTTGGCTTGTGAGAGCAGTCATGTGCCGCAAAAGTCGAGAGACGGATCCATGAACTGCGGGCTCCGTTGTAATGCTGCTGCTACGCAGCTTGGCAGTCTTTCATGCACTTTTTACAAGCCCATATCCACTTTGAGCTGCATGAGCCATGCCAATCTCAGTGAAACTTTTGAATCAGCACTGACTGAGTGGTCGTGAATACCTGCGAGATACCTAGGTAGCTAGGTAGGTTTTCATGCGTTGGAGTTGGCTTGTCCTACTCGTCGCAGTGGTGATTGCGTATATGCGAAAGAGCCATCACGGAAGTGGCTAGATGTTTACGAATCTCATCATTTCATATCGTGTTACAAACTGTGAATTTTTGGTATCTCATTGTGCCACATTCTACAAATCCATTTGTATAATCCCCTTATTATCGTTCCATTCATCGTGAAGTTGTTAAAACTGTAGCAATCTCACCAAACCAATGAAAAAGAGCAAAGCAATGAACATAGACCCTCCACCACTTTACATCGTCATCCATGCGTCAAATTCATCTTTCTAGGATGCCTTGGCGTTGTCCGTAGCGCTCGGGGCATAAGCAGCCTGAGCTCTGTTCTTCTTGATGACTTCCTTGACTCGCTCTTCCGCCTCATCCCAGTCATCGGTATCAAGGCGCACGAGATCAATGCCGTATGTGTTGGCAATGCCAAGGAGGGCATCGTAGCTCTTCTTGTCGTAGACGAAGCTGATACTGACACCAACACGTCCAAAACGTCCAGTTCGACCGATACGGTGGAGATAAGTCTCGGCGTCGGGCTCACTATCGCCTCGGCCTTTCATAGGAATATCGTAGTTGATGACCATGGACACGGTTGACACGTCGATGCCACGAGCGAGGACATTGGTAGTGATGAGAACCTTGTTCTCACCTTGTCGGAATTTGCTCAGCAGCTCGTCTCTCTCGTTACCATCAAACGCAGCGTGCAGAGCAGATACTTTGTGTCCATCAGCCACCATGCGTCTCTGGATCTCGTTGGCGCTTTCACGGGTCTGTTTTGATGTCAGAAAAATTGATTCTAGTCTGTCTTAAAATTCCATGCGCAGCAGACCTTGACAAAGATGACCGACTGTCCAATAGTCATGAGACCGTAGAGCTTGCAAAGAACGTCGTACTTGATGTTGTCGTCCGCGCAGTCAATGAACATTTGTGAGATGCCCTTGACGGTAAGCTCGCTTCGCTGCAGCTTGAGAGAATGGGCATTTGGCGCAAATTTCGTGGCATATGAACCGACTTTGTCGGGGAAAGTGGCTGAGAAGAGAAGGATTTGCACAGACTTCGGTAGCATGCTACATCCAAGGGTTAGCTATCTTGTTCTTCGCCCCATTGCTTTTATTGTAGATGAGACTTACTTCTTTACTCTCAGGCACTGGTCACCCATTCCTTGCTGATCCAACATGTTGTCGGCTTCGTCCAGGACGAGAACCTTCAGTTGAGAGACATCCAACTGTCTTCGTTTGATGACGTCCTGGACAGTACCAGGGGTACCAACAATAACGGCAGATCGAACCGGCTGGTCGCGAGGCAGAGCACCAGGAATCGCGGCAGCAACCTTGAGAGGTTCAATAAAGCGACCAATAGCGTTTACAACACCTTCAATCTGACGAGCAAGTTCTCGACTGGGGGCCAAGGCAAGAGCTTGAGGCTGATCCGGCTTGGTAAAGTCGACACGCGATAGAATGGCAGTAACAAACGCCGCCGTCTTTCCAGTACCAGATTGGGATTGGGCCATCATATTTCTCGGAGGATCGCTAAGCATCAGAGGAAGAGATTTTCCTTGGACTTTCGAGGGTTTCAGAAACTTGAGGGCCAAGAGACCCTTGAGGAGGTCCTCCGATCTTTGGAAGAAGCAGTCAGTAAACACTCGGTTCAGGTAGAAGAATCAACCGATACTTACAGTCCCATATCTTGCCATTGTGTAGCAGAGTGGAAAGGAGTTGCTTCGTTGGCCTGGAGTTCGCTGAGAGAGACTTCGACATCCCATTCGGGCTCTTGCAGACCAGAGCCACCGAGCTCTTCAACAGCACCGTCAACCTGGGCCTCAGCAGCACCAGCAGCAGCTTCAGCTTCCGCCTGCTGCTTGTTCTCGTCTGCCTCGACGGATTCAGCCCAATCAACCTTCTTTGCCGGCTCATCAGGCTTCGTAATACGGCTCGCGAGGTCAGACATTTTTGGAAACGGTGACGGATCGAGATAGATTATCGGGATTCGTAAATTGGGTATGTGGTATCGAGGACTGATGTACGGATCAAAAAAGGATGCTAAGGGACAGTTTGCCTGCAACTGTCTCAGACAATGTCCGGCCGTGGAAAAGAAAACAATGGAATAAAGGAAATACGGCGCCTGGACGTGCTCCCCAAAACCTACACCGAAGTCTATTGTGAAGTTAAAGTGACCTACGACAAAGCCTGGATGGGGGAAATTTTGGTGGGGTTCCTGGTTGGAGGGGCGAAGCTGCTGCAGCTCAAGGCTTCCAAGTTGCTTCAGTTAAGGTTGCACGAATAACGCCGATATTTTTCCGAAGCGCGCCGTAGCTTCCAGCTTATCGGCCGTATCGTCAACTCAGATCTACAAACCTCATTATACCATTGTAGCGTTCCAAGCTTCCAACTTTTCTACTACCCTTACTACCAAATTTCATTTCCATGTGTTATTCAATGTTTGAGAAAGCCTCATAATTTCCAAACGCGTTTTGTAGCTATACCAGCAACATGGCGGCTCCTCCGCCTCGAGGGCTCTCCCTCTATGACAACCTCCACGATCCCAATGACCCGCCCGCGTCGGCCACGATATCCTCCGCGCCAGTGACCTACAAACAGGGCGGAGCTGCCGCCGATGATCAGGCACCGAAGAAAGCCATCAATGCGGCCCTCCAATTCCAACCCATCCGACGACCACAGGTGAAGCAGCCGAAAGCCAAATCCGCATTCCCAAAGGCAATTCCCAAACCTACTGCAGATCCAGTGACGACTACAACTGCCACTGCCACTGCCACTGGAACTGGAGCGTCGCAGTCAGTACCGCATCAGAGCACCCTTGCTGATTGGGTAGCGACAGAGGAAGATGAGTGGATGTATGGCGTTGGAGAGAAGCGCCAGCGCGGCGGCCGCAAGAAGAAGAAGAGGAAGCAGGACGAGCAGTTCGAGACGGACTGGGACGAAATGTACGATCCGTCGAGGCCAACAAACGTCGATGAGTTTCTCAAGAGCGACGAGAAAGTAGCAGAGGTGCAGGAGTGGAAGGGTCTGCTATATCGGCACCGAAAGAGACCAGATGAAAGCGACGTATCAGACTCTGAGGACGAGGGAACGCGCGCGGCACCTCCCAGTAGGTCAACTTACATCATCGCCTTGAATAATCATTCTAACGGAATTGTTCTTTCGATACAGACCAGTTTGCTCCGCCTACTTCTTACAATTTTGCGCCTCCTCCAAAATCTCCTCCAACCGCTCCACCACAAGATGAAACTGCAGATGAGGCTTATGCCCGCCGTCTAGCCCTCTCATCAACAGAACAACCACCACCACCTCCTCCTCCTCCACAGCTTTCTGATTCATCAATACCTCTCGCTCCTCCTCCTCCTCCTCCTCCTCCTCCACCTTCAGATTCTGTCTCGATATCCAAAGCCCCCGTCCGTTATACCCAACCCACCCAATCACTCAACAACACCGAAGACGGCGAAGACGAAGGCTACTCCTTACCCCCCAGTTTCAGTCACACCAATCAAGACGACGACAATGACGATACCCCCCAAGACTCCTCCCAACCACGATCCAACCGCCCTGGCCAAGTCGGCTTCGCCCAGCGCCTTATGAGCAAATATGGCTGGACAAAGGGCGCCGCCCTCGGCGCCAACGAATCAGGCCTCCTCAACCCCTTGCGCGTGCAAGTCGAAAAGAGACGCAAAAAGGCCGATGCAGACGGCGGCGGATGGGCCGAACCGGGAGGCAAGGGCAAGATCGTCGGCGGCAAACGCAAGGACGAGGCCGGCGGCAAGTTTGGCACCATGAGTGAGGTCATTGTGCTTCAGAACATGCTGGAAAACATGCCCGACCTTGAAGCGGAAATTGCAGACGGGTTAGGTCAGGAAATTGGCGGAGAATGCGGTGAAAAGGTTAGCATTTATACCTTTCTTCCCTTCTTATCAATCAACCATTGTGGCATTCACAGAGGCTGTGCAGCTAAGCTAATACTTGCACATAGTATGGACGAGTTGAGAGACTATACATCAACGTCGAGACCCGCCAAGTCTTTATCAAATTCACAGACCAGGTGTCTGCTCTACGAGTAAGTTCTGTATTCTATCATACATAGAAAACCCAATGATGGCAGGGCAGTAAGAGCTGAGCTAACTCCATGACCACAGGCGGTAAATGAATTAGACGGCCGCGTTTTCAACGGCAACAACATCATTCCAAAATTTTATGATACTGAAGATTTTGAAAGGGGGGTTTACACAGCTAAATAAGTCGACGTAGGACTATAACAGTATCAAGCACAAAGCAATGTTTGTATCATACCAAGAGATTATACTTCATTCTCACGACAAGGAGCGGATTAGATTCGAAATAATTAGGCAAACTTGAAATCATAATAGAAAACGAGGCGAAAAGTGGTATAAAGTACCCTAAGTCTAAACATACACCAACACCGATAAAGAAAAAAGTCTAAAGAGAGGAACAAATCGTGATAGAATAATCACCAGTAACCGTACACACGTAAAATCCTTTTCAAGTCTGCAGCACGCTGGCGCTAACCAATTGTCGCCGATATACTGTCCTCGTCACGCCGTACACAGTGGCATCTGAATTTGATTCCTCCTTCGCACGAGTAGAGAAGCAGAGCCGTCCAGGTATACACGCACTGGCAAATGTTCCAACGCGACAGGAATTATATAGCATGCGCGCCATGCGTCATGTCGAGCTTGTCGAAGGATAAAGAAACGTGGCGACCAAATTTTTGAAGTACATTTCCATTATTAAGTTCTAGCGTTAGTGCCGCGGACAAGAGTTGTGCAGCCATGGCCTGGGAGAGGTTGATAAAACCACAACGTGTTGGCTAAGAGAAAACAGAAAACATCTGAGAGAACAGAGATTGACGCCAAATTCCCAACTATCATCCCCTTTGACTTTTTACCACAGCTGGGCCATGCCAGCAATGACTGACACACCCAAAAGGACGTTGTTGACACTCAGAGCGGCGACAGCGTTGTCAGTGCCGTTACCACTGCTGCTGCTGCCGCTGCCGCTGCCGGAAGTGCTGGAGTCACCGTCGCTACCTCCCTCGTTGGCGGCCTTAACGTTGCTCTTGCAGGATGTCGTGCCCTTGATGATCTTCTTGGAGTGAGCATCAGTGAAGAATCCGCAGAAAGCAGAGATATCGGTAGTAGACAAGACAGTGCAGCCACCATCGACTTCCTTGAGAGCAGGAAGCTCAACACTATACAAAAATTAGAGTTAGTAAGAAAGCGACTCATGGATTCTGTCCAGAATGGGTAGATACTCACGTTTCGAAGTTACCACGGAGGATGATACCGCCGGCAACAGTTGACAGCTTGGGGAAACCCTCAACTGCAAGCATCTTGGTGTTGTTCTGAATGGTCATATCACCAATGGAAGTCAATAGGGGGAAAGAGATGTTGGTGAGCTTGTTGTTGTTGATGAAGGTGACACTCTCCTTGATGCTGGTGACGTTCTTAGCACTAAAGGTGGTGAGCTCGGGGTTGGTGTCGAATTTGAGAGACTGAGTGATGGTCTTGAGCTTAGGAGCCAGGAAGCTCTTGACGTTGGAGAGCTGGATCTCAGCAGCAGTGGTGAGCTTGGTCATGTTGATTTCCATGTTGTTTCCGTTGCTAGTAACACTGAGGAGACTGGTAATGTTGGCAAGATCAGAGTTGTAGGCAGTCAACCTCTTGTTGTTGGTGATGGTAAGGCTGTCAACACTGTTGATGTTGAGGCCGCTCAAATCAGTAAGGACAGTGTCGGCAATGACGATGGTGGAGGCCTTGGAGACACCAGAAGTGCCAAAGGTGAAGGTGCTCAGCTGGCGGAGGCTTTGCATGCTCAGCTTGTTCAGGGTCTTGAGCGCGGCCATGTCAAGAGAGCTCAAAAGATCGAGGCCCGAAAGCTCGAAGTTGCCCTCAATGGACTGGATGGTTGAGCTGGAGATGGAGATGAGCTGAGAGGCGTTGTTGATGATAAGATCACCGGTGATCGTCTTGGGTCCCTCGATGCTCAGGCCGCCGGCCACAGATGCGTCAACGGTGATGGTGGCATCCACAACATCACAAGAGATGATGGGAGTAGGTTGGGTAACCTTGATATCCTTGGTGCAGGTAGTGGCGGCTACAGCTGAGTTAGCACTGCATAGGTAGCCATACACGAGCATGAGAAAAAGCTTACCAGAAACCACGCTGGCAGAGCCAGCAACCAACAAGGCTGACAAAAGCTTGGAATGCATTATGATCTAATGAAGGATGAAAAGTCAGCAACCATGCGTCACGACGCAGTTGGAACAAGAAAAAAAATTAAAGTGAGTTTGAGGTTCGGGTCGCGATTCGGGGCTCGATGCTGCTGCAAATAGGGGGCGTATCTGACTCTGGCGTTTAAATTATGCAACCGGTCCAAAAGGCACGACGCAAGACCAAAAGATGTTGACAGAATCTAGCTCTTGGACGTCCAGATGATGACGCAGTTCTCTAGTTATTCTCACTCGATTTTGCACCAGGCGAGTCCAGGTAGGAGCTAATGTCTGTCGATTGGGCCGAAGAAAGAGGGGGCGTCAAGTTGAAGAAACAGAACAGCGCATTCGTGACTGACGCGCAGCAACAGGCTTGAGAGGCAAATCGAGGCCGAATTGGCGTTGCAAGATTGTGTATGGAAGGAGAGCAGGTGAAAGGTTGCAGAAAAGCCAGGTGAAACGAGGATTTGGGGGGAGCAGCAACAGCGAGGCAACGTGCACGGCGCAAGCGAAACCAGGAGAGCTCACAATCACACACCTTGTAGCAAAAAGTCGATCTTGTTCCGGACGCGAAAATTGGGAAACGTTCCTCGGCAACGGGCTAGAAATGTCTTAAAAAGATGGTGGTCGAAGTTAAGGGCTACTGGATGGCCGTGTAGACTGTAGTTGGATGGAATGGAGAAGGGCAAGAAGTAGTAGTTGGAATAAAAAAGCTATAGCGCAAGATGCTTGGCCTGATAACGAGTGGCAGGAAGTGAAGCAGGACGACGAGACGACGGCAATCGCAAAACGAAGGAGCGAGAGAAGGCGAGGAAGAAGGGGAGAAAAAGGATTTGGACGTGAAGAACTTGGTCCTTGGACGAAACCAAGCGACACCCCCTGCCGCGATTGTGCACCAACCACAGGCTGCGACGCGGGCCTTGCCAGGGGGTGAAGCCGTCCAAATCTCCCCTGGGAATGGAGCTTCTAGGGGGTGTAGGTGGGGCGCGGGCAGGGACATGAGCCGCTGGAAAGGGCAGCGGTGGCCCACCGGCCTCACGTCCATAATTTGCCGCGAAATTTGCTGCCCCCGTACTGTATTGGGACGAGCGCGCAGGCCATTTCACTCAAAGGCCTCGGCTGGCGGCACATATGAGGAGTGCGATGCGCACCTCTGGCGCGTTTGATGGCCGATGGCACAGTGCGTAGCGTCTATCTATGCCTAAGGTAGGCTTGTGATATTATCACACCTGCATGTTTTGGAGTCTGTATGTGGGCGCTGCGAGCTTCAGAGCTGCTGCAGATCAATATAGGAACGTGAATTATAGGTTTTATTTGACTCTCCAATACTAAAATGGAGGCTGTACTGAAATACGTGTATACATACACACGGTCCATAGTACAGTGCAGAGACACAGCTTAAACAAGCTATGTTGTTGTTGACCCGCTGTAGCTCTCCCCCCGCAAGGGCTGACAAGCAAGAAAAAAACTTGATCCGACCTGGGCAGGTAATAATTCAGAGACAGCCCGTGCCTGGACTTGGCCGTTACGGGCAGTACCACATGGAGGCACGGCAAGCCCGCATGCATCTTTGTACCTGGATCCTTCAAGTACCGCGCAGAATAAACACGAATCTCATCAATCCATCTCATCTCGGCGCGAGGCCCTTGGCGCAGGGCCGCAATCGAACAACGCATAGGCCAACGCTCTGCTCGCATCGACATTTACAGCACACAAATATTTTTTTCTGCTTATCGCAGTTGCTTCTCCGCACTGGTGCTACTCCAATATTCGCAGTGGGAGGCATCCGATCTGCATGCGAACGCTCAGCATCACCACGACGTCGTCGGCCGATGCAGATCGTATCGCATGCGCCAGCTACCGCCACCAAATGCTAAGCACCTGCTAATGCTGCTGCAAACCCCGCCAGTAGGGCATTTCGCCAAAGGACCGACCCAGCGACCATGTGTGCGCTAGGCAGGGATGCTGGAATTGAAAGGTTCAATTGAATTTGCTAGCGCCCCTGCGTCCTTCTAGAGCCACCTGCGCACAGCCATGGCGCTCTGTGACAATGCGAGCTGGGAATACCGCAAATGATGCCTGCCCCTGGTGCCTGTTAGCCACTGACCGAAGCCTGCGCGGAATTTTCGGCCACAAGCCAGAATCGTCTCCTTTTTCTCTGTTCCTTTCGAATCACGAGTACCAGCAGGATTGGTCAGTACCGAAGAGAGGGTCAGCGCAAGGAGGCCCGGCACAGCATCAATCTCTATAGGCCGGTTCAAATGGCCAACGATACTTGCGCTACTCCTAAGAGGCGCGCCTAGTCTCGACAGCTACGAATAGGCGACCCCATAATGAATACGGAGCGCCTCCTCCGTTGGCAGACACGGCGTTGCACTCAACTCCTTTCGCCAGCGCAGGGCTGCACATCACTTGGAATGCCATGCTGTCTGGCACAGCTCATATTGAACCACCCAAGCGTTTCATCGTTTCATGGTCCATCTGCCGCTTAATGTTTCCCTCTGCTGCACCCGGCATTGCGGCAACGCCGTCCGGTTCACGATGCCGGCGATGACGACCTCGACGTCCAGCAATCCACTCAAGGCGTGCCGCGCTGACGTATCTGCATTGAGTGCTCTTGAAGACGACGTCGATTGGTGGCTGCTCGGCACAGCGGGTGTGCCACACTTTGTCTCCCGAAGCTCCAATAGTCTCCGACCCGACCGTTGCGATACGAGCTGTTGCTACTAGCAGTAGCACGACTACTCTAATTTGGACTCTGACATCAATGCTAATAATGGTGATATCCGTACGCGTAGAGTTTGACGGCCTTGATCAACATCGGCAATAGAAAGCATCTGGATGATCGAGTGGTCACAAGATGAATTGGCGATGTATCAATTATTAGCGCCTGTCTATCAACATGAAGTTGACTACATCTGCGGAGTGCGCCTCAAGTGGGACATGACTCCTCGTCATCAGCCAAATGCGCAGTAACCTACATGTACTCCATACAGTGCATCGTGATACGATGCAGAAAGCCGTCTTCGTTGATTGCAATCACCCCTCTCAACATATCACTCTAGGTAGCTGTGCCACCCAGAAAAAGCAAAAAAAAGCTTGCAATTGTTCGCTATTGTGCTTGCGATTTGGGACAATAAGAACAGCAGCTCTGCGCCCAGACACTACTACTAGTACTCGTATAAGGCACTGCTCCACCATGAAGAGCTTTTTACTCGCTTCCAGATATGGAGATAACTTGCTATAGGCTCTTCTAACCGGCATCTCCTTTACTTGAGTATTTCACGGCAGTGATACGAAAACATGAAGCAATGCAGGTGTAAGGATCACTACATCTACTTCGTACAAAGTACTGGGTATACAAAGGAGGTCGGCATTCAATCGTACTTGTATATGTAATTGCTCCGCTATCCGTACGCGGAAACCATACGAGTCATATCGACCAATGATTTCTGGTCCGTATTACAAGCAGAGCTGCCTTATCAGTCACAGTTTGAAACTAGGTACTTCTTAATTATACCTACATGCTACAGTGATGAAGGCTCGTCGCTTCCCCAATTACACTGTAACATATTACCATTGCCTTGCAGAGATTAGTGCCCTTTTCTTCACCATCTCCCTACCTTGGTAACGAGGAAAGCTTAAACAAACATCAACAATCCTATACTTAGAGTATACCGCCCGCATGGTGTGATGGGTAATACACAATCCCGTCTTTAAACTAAATTCACATGTGGCTACCCTCTTTCTATATGTAGCCGCTGCACGTGTCATCCGCGCCGAGCCGTGCAAACAAGCTTGCTTCTAGGCCTGGAACGACGTCTTACACATATCCACCTGACGTATGCAAAGATTCAAACACGAGAAATTCGCATGATTCGAAATCCCATCTTGAACCTGAAATTCGGGAACCATCCCCCGACAGGACAATCCGATGGCAATGGTTTGCGCAGATCCGCTGATTCCTTGCTCGAGATGCATGCTAATATGTGTATGCCTAACTATAAGACTACAATATATCTCCTTCGCATATTCCAAAGTAGAACCGCAGCAATTGACGCAAAAATTGACCGAGAAACTGTAGAGAGCTTCATCTTGCAGCATTCTATAATACAAGCTGCACACAAGTGCGCCATAAACATTCAACATTTACCCCATTGTGCTGACATCCACTTCCTCCACCTTCCACATGTACCACATAAACAAACTCCGATACGGTTTGAACTTGTCTGACAGTTCCACCATGTCTTGCTCCGACATATACTTCCACTTGCCTCCCTTGTTCTTGAGCTTGGCCACATCTCGACCGACAAACGCAGCCATGCCCCTCTGAATGCCGAGATCGCCCAGGGAGAAGACGTTCATCCTCTTGAGGGCGAAAAGGGCAAACATCTCGACAGTCCACTTGCCCAGCCCACGCACGGCGACGAGCTTCTCCATGAGTTCCTCGTCTGGCGCATCGTGAAGCATCTGCGCCGTAATCTCGCCGCTCGCAAACTTCTCAGCAAGACCCTGCACGTACTCTGCCTTGCGCTGCGAGAGGCCGGCGGTGCGCAGCTTCTCGATGGAGCATGCCGCAACGTCGGATGGCGCCGGGAATCTTGTTACGGCGGCCTCGTAATTGGCAGGTTGAGAATCTTCGTCTTCTGGGAAAAAGAGGGCGATGAACTTTGCTTTGATTGACCGAGCTGCGGCGCCGGATACCTGCTGCGATATGATGGAGCTCACCAGACTCTCGAACGGGTCAATCTTCTCGGCCAGTCCCTCGGGTGAGAATACATGGCAGTAGTGCTTCTCAATCAGAGGCCTCATCCGCTCGTCCACCTTGATCAAGTGATCGCACGCCTCGCGCAGTAATGTTGCCGTTGTCGTCGTAGTCGTCTTGCCACCGATAGAGGCCGCTTTTGAAGGCGACTCGGGTTCCGCGTTGCGCGAGGCAACTATCCGCGACGTCTGCGGCGACAGCAGCGTCGCATTGGAAAATCTGGGGTCTGCGAGGCGAGTGACGGCCTTGTGAGCTGCGCCCTTGTCTTCGCCATCAAGACCTACAGCGCTGGTGGTGGGCGTTAAGGGGGGAGCAACTGGTCGCTGCTTCTTGGTGGGTGTCTTGGGCTCTGTTGGCTCGGGATTGGGAACCGCCTTTCTCTTCCTCTTGTTCTCCTTTGGGGGTGGAGGAGCGGGAGCAACAGCAGCAGGCTTTGTGTTCTCAGCTGCTTCTTGGGCGCTGATGCGCGCAGAACGCCGTGTGGCTGCCATTGCTGCGTGCGAGTATGTGCTAAAACTAGGTGTTGTTATAAGTGGTCTGTATGCTATGGCCACAGATCTCGCGTAGCCAAGTAATTTCATCCGCTGCTGGGTGCTTAGATGGTGCAAAATTGGCATTGGCCAGTGGGCAGACACTGTAGGTTTGTTTCCAGCCGGTGTATGACGATTCAGACCTCAGAATTGAATCAACTTATGTCACTTGCGGTCTGTTACAAGATTTGCGGTATGGAAAGGCCGTTTGTCATCACGGTCCAGGTACCGAACATGCATAGCAACGCCACAATTGCATGTGGGAATAAACAGAGTGACATCCCTCCAGATAAAGGCAGCCAGCGGATAGCCGCTACAGCGACCAGCCAAGTCAGCACTGGAGAAAAAAGGGCAATAGCCAATGCTTCGTAAACTGGGGTAAGGACATCTAAACTAGGCAAGATAATCATGAATAAACTTGCCTAGTTCGTTCTCCATGTCCAAGATTCGGTCGCCGGCATCCGATTTGCTGCTAGAGTATGGAGTTTGCGGCGTGGGAGGTTGCCACTGCGGCTTGATCTTTTTTTCCAGGCTCCTTCTAGATCGCAGCCCCCAGGGCGCCCATGCGGCATTGAAGAAAAAACTCTTTTTTGATCGGTTCCATTGTGACCTGTCAATCCAATTCATCACATGTGTTGGTTTTCTGCTAACTTTTATATATTTGTTTAACACTCAAATCTCCGTCGGCTGTAGACATTACTATTCCATATCATTGCTGCTGCGCCTGTCGCAATTCGTATTCCGCAATTTATAGGGTAGCATTGCCTCTATCGTGCATTCTAGACCTCCTGATTTGAAGTAGCGCGTCTCAATTGGCACAAGCAAATGTTTCGAGACGGATGTCGCTAATAAAACGCAACGGCCCAGGGACTACCTAATAGGAACCACTTTTTTGCCGGCCCCAGCGAGCATATGAAAGTATCTCGAGCGTATTGCCCTGCACTGCCCTACGGTTAAACTTTTCAAGAGGACTTGACAGCAACAATCTGTCTGATAGGCACGCTAAGATACGGAGCGCCCTATCTCGACTTGCTCCCCCTTCTCGTCCTTCGCTGGCCATTTGTCCAGCAGCCTCTCATTACAACGCTGGCTCTGTCCATCTGCGATCCTTGGCCCAATCCAGGCGTCGTCGCCTCCACTCTCGTTTTCAAAGACCCTCTCTTCCTTTTGGCCCGTCTCTCCTAAGCCCGCCTATCGCCTCCAGTCCTCCTGTGCCATCTCCGAGGACGCTGGAATCGTTGCGCGACAAACACCAAGTTTCGGTTCTGGGTGCCCATTGTGATCGACATCGCAACCGATCAAACGTCCTTTGCGAACCGAGGCGCGCCTCGAGACGTCATCATGCTGTTTCCCAAGGGTGGACTGAACTGGAAGTCTGCAAAGGCGCAGATACCTCCAACCAGGGCGCTATGGAACGCCGTGACGCGAACACGATTTATACTGCTAGTTGGCGTTACCGGAATCATTCTGTTGCTATGGCGCGGCCTGTCCCATTCGGCGTCGGATATGCAGAGGTAAGTGGCTATGCGCTGGTTTGCTGGCTACCTGTATGCAGTCACTAATCATTATCGATTCCGTATAGCTTCTACTGCTGGGGTCCGGCCCAACCACCCATGGAAATGTCGCCAAACGATCACAATAGGTGGAACGGACACCTCCAAACGCCAGTCATCTTCAATCACCACGCCCCGATAGAGGTCAATTCTAGTACAATTGAACACGTTGACCTTAACCCCATCGAGTCGACCAAACAAGCCGTTAGCAAAGAAGAGAGGATACTCATCCTGACGCCGCTCAAGGACGCCGCCCCGTACTTGTCCAAATACTTTGAGCTCCTCGCAGAATTGACGTATCCTCATCGCTTGATCGATCTGGCGTTCCTCGTCTCAGACTCTACCGACGACACCCTCGCCGTTCTTGCGTCCGAACTCGACCGTATCCAGAAACGACCCGACCAGATTCCTTTCCACAGCGCAACCGTCGTCGAAAAAGATTTTGGTTTCAAGCTCAGCCAAAATGTCCAAGAGAGGCACTCATTCGAGGCCCAAGGCCCCCGACGAAAGGCTATGGGCAAGGCAAGAAATTACCTGCTTTATACCGCCCTCAAGGCTGAGCACTCCTGGGTTTACTGGCGCGATGTCGACATTGTGGACAGCCCTACTGGCATTCTCGAGGACTTTATCGCCCATGACAGGGATATTCTGGTTCCAAGTAAGGAATAATCTGTCAAGGTACTATTAAAAATGAAAGACTTGCTAATCTCCGATGCCAAGACATTTGGTTCCACCGTTACCGCGATGGCGTCGATATTGAGGGCCGATGTAAGTGGCTTTTTGAACTACAGAACATATGCAGAATGTCGTCACTTACACCATATAAATAGTCGACTACAACTCCTGGGTCGAGTCAGACCAGGGCCGCAAGCTGGCGAGTAGCCTTGATAAGGATGTTGTCCTTGCTGAAGGTATGCCGCCCTAAACTATATGTTAGCATGGATAGTGCTTACTGGGTCAACAGGCTACAAGCAATACGATACTGGTAGAACTTATATGGCGAAAATGGGCGATTGGCGCGAGAATAAGGATGTGGAGCTTGAGCTCGACGGCATTGGCGGCGTCAATATCCTTGTTAAAGCGGATGTGCATCGCTCTGGTATGCCGCTAGACTTCATTCTCTCTTTGAAACGGACATCTACTAACACGCTGTTTCTTTTTTTTCCTAATTAGGCATCAACTTCCCCTGCTATGCCTTTGAGAACCAAGCTGAGACAGAGGGATTTGCTAAAATGGCCAAGCGCGCCGGATACGAAGTCTATGGTCTTCCCAACTACGTTGTTTGGCATATTGACACCGAAGAGAAGAGCGGCAATGCTTAAGCTCAACATAAATCGCTTTCCAAAGGAATTGAATTCCGCTTCACGTGTGTCATATTTTGCGAACTGGTTCGAATAATTCCGTTGTTTTATTGGCAAAGGGGGGCAACACTATACGAAGACTCATGATATTATACTTTTCTGGCGGACCGGACTACCTTTTAGATACGACCAACCTCAACGTCGACACATCAACTATTACGACTGGTGACGAGCACGTCCTTTTGCATACCGTCGGTGGAGACTGTTTGCTGGTTCGCGTTTTTCATAATAACGATGAGATTTGTCTGGGAAAGGCTTGCGCATGTTGGGTTCAGCCTGGGAAGGCAATAAGCGAGCTAGATCTGTTTCCACTGCGATACAAGATTCTGGCTACTTGCGCTGCGCATATTGGAGCTACTGGAATGGAGGCTGTTGCTTGTGCTATGGCGGGAGTAATGGCGAGGCAGGTTGGAACAGTTCTGTGTGTTTTTGGAGTTTAGAGTAGGCATGTCATATTCACGTGGCCAAATGGGCTTTGTATTTTTTTCTTATTCTGTCTCATCAATTGATAGATGCTACCATTATGTTAAGAAGCGTATCTACCTAGATATTGTATGTTACCTGTGAGAGCCGATGGCTGCCTTCAACCTTGTAGCATGTGATGGTATCCAAAATGCTAGAATAGCGCAGATATTCAGATAGCATGATCAAAGTACCTAGCATGCGCTCTGTTACCTGCTGGATGTACCCCCGTGACGGTCATGTTTCAGCCCTCCCTGTAATAATATTCTTGTTTACCTTTCAGCTGGGCATTGCCTGGTCAGCCGACCGACGCCCGAACTTCGGCTCTCAGAGATAAGGAGAAAGTCTAACAGGCGCGCGGGAGAGCCTCGGTTAAACCCGCGAGTTAGGTCGCCGGGTGCCGTCATAGCAGCAACACGTACAACTTAGACCTTAGACGAGTGCAATCACATCAGCCGCCTGCGACTGGCTGCGCATCCCGACGACGAGACTTGACGACGCATCTCCGTGCATATAAATCCCACCAGGTACGTAACGTGCGGCGAGCGCCGCCGGTGCTTGTACGGCTGCCTAGTCGCCTCTGCGCATCCCGGGCTAACGAACGACGACGACGACTTTAGGCTGACCCCTCCACCAAAAGCCTGCTGCGTCGGCCGCGGCATCACACCGTCATTTTGCGACCGATCAACCTCCTGGGAAATCACTTTTATCGACGATTTCGAAATTCCATCATCTTTAGCACCTATTCCTCAGACTCAGTTTCTTCCCGTCTTCTCATCATCATCCATCATGTGGGGCTGGTTTGGAGGCGGCGCTGCCGCCACAAAGAAGAAGGATTCGGCCAAGAATGCCATTCTCGGCTTGCGCGCGCAGCTTGACATGCTGCAAAAACGCGAGAAGCATATCATGAACCAGATTGAAGAACAGGATCAGATCGCCAGGAAGAACGTCAATACAAACAAGACAGGTATGTGAAACCGATACTGTTGGATACCTCTCGGAAGTGGCGGCGCGGCAATATTGACGGCATGAAAACATTAGTGGCCAAGGCTGCCTTGCGACGCAAGAAGACGCAAGAGGGGACGTTGGACAAGACTATCGCGCAGATTGCGACGCTGGAGGCGCAGATTAACTCGATCGAATCGGCCAACATCAACCGCGAAACCCTGGCAGTCATGGAGAAGTCTTCAGATGCCATCAAGGCCATCCACCAAGGCCTGTCGCCGGAGAAAGTGGATGAGATCATGTATGTGACTCTTAAGCCAATCTGCGGCGCCAAATTTTTTCTTGAGTATCGATGAATTAACAAGGGCATAGGGACAAAATCCATGAACAGAATGCGCTTAGCGATGAGATTGTCAACGCGATTACACAAAACCCGATCGGCGAGCAGTTTGACGATGCCGAGCTGGAGGACGAGCTGGAACAAATGCAGCAAGAGAATCTTGAAGAGCAAATGCTGAACACGGGCCAGGTGCCCGTAGCAGATGCAGTCCACAAGATGCCCACACCATCGCACGCAGAACGTGAGTATACTCATTGGGACTTAAGCGACGTGAATGTAAAAGGTGCTAACATTCAAAAAGCTATATCGAGCAAAAAGGTCGCCGTGGAGGATGACGAGGAGGCTGAGCTTTTGAAGCTTCAGGCTGAAATGGCAATGTGAGCCGCCTGCTGTTGAATTACGAGTCATCACAGTATATGGGCATTTCGCGGACCGGCGTAATTGGTGATGTAGTGATTCTGTGAATACGGCCACTTCGCTTCATTTTACCTTGTTGAAGGAGCATATTTGCTGTGTAATTCCTACGCAGGCTGACTTACTGGCTTCTTCTTTTTTCTCTCTCCCCCCCCCTTTTAACACGAGTGGTGTTGTTTCCCTGGCGTTGGCGTCTTTGAGGGCATGGTTAATGTTTCTTCTGGTGTGTGATGGGCAACAGATTCTATCCCGGAGGACAGGCGCAGCGAAGTACTCCCGTTTTAGGCTGAGCAAGCCGCATCACGGGAATGACAGTTTGGCGCTGTCTTGTGACAAAGGGAAGAACTGGGCTCTAGGTAGCCGAGGTTTTATTGAGCTGATTTGGTAGAGAATTAGATGCCAACTAAAGATCGAATCTAAAGAGAATACTTTTCTGTTTTTATTTATTAACTTGTGTTACGCAATTTGGTCTCTATTGTTGATGACTGGGCGAAGGCAAATTTGCCATCGATATTCACTTCATGTCAACTCCCAATACTACTGTTTAGTAGGCGGTAAAGAGCGGTAAAGATAATCTCAAATTAGGAAGATTTCAGTAGGCGCCCCGATGCACCCCTTGACTGTAGAATCACATAATCGAGGCGGCTGTGTATCATCATGCGGCAACCCTTTAACAGACTGGATCAGAATAGGCAGCCGGCCCGAAGGTCGCTACGGGTTATACGAAGAAACAAAACCTGCGTAGACTGGGCCATATCTATGGCCTTGGTGGGCGGCTTTCAGCTGAAGACTGCCCTAATTTTCTCAAGGGACGCAGATCTAAAGGCTGATGATGCAGTCATCATCGTGCCTATATGCACGCTGTGCTCCATAGTGGCACCAGAAATAAACGCGGTGACGTGACGGACCCTTTGAGTATCATACATTTTGCAAGTAGTACGTAGTTACAGTATCTACATACTGATAGGCTATTAAATCACATCGACAAGGATCTTTCGTCTGGTCAAGACGCCGTGGGCCACTGACATCCCAAACATCGACATACTTCACCGTCGTAGAGCCGCCGCCAGTGAATGATTGGACCAGCGGCAACGTCCCAACGGGCCAAGCCGCTCCAAAAGCTGGAGACCATTGCACGTGACCTTTGCGGGACCTTTTCCTCCAGCCGCCCAACGAATTGAACCTTCTGTACAGCACCACTCTTTTTTCCTTCTTACGCGCTTGCTGTTTAGGCGCCCTGGAGCTTTCTCTGGAGTGCGGGAAGCTCCACTGGGAAACCGGCGCCTCCCCTGCTTTTTGGCCATCATTGGACGAGACGGGCCTGATATGCAGTCAAGCGCCCGGGGCGGGAGTATGCAGAATGAGCTGGACAGGACAAGCAGACGAGAATCTGGGGTGAAGCAAGAAGAAGATTTGTTTCTCGTTTTTGCCCTTGTTGCTGCACTGCTGACGGATGGTACCTAATAGCTGAGAGAGGAAAAAAAAACAGGGAATAAGAAAGACAGACATGGGGCTGGGCGGCTGTGATGGGCGTTTGATTTGCCCTTGCAGCTGAGCTGCGAAGCCAGGCAAACCAAACAAGCCATGGAGCGTTTCTTTTCTGCAGGAGAGGAAAAGATGTAGACGTTCCTGGCCAGCGAATTGCTTGCGGGCGCGTATCGTGTTTCCGGTAGATGGTAGTTCAATCAAATGGTTCCCTCCGTTTTCTCGTTTCGTTCTAACAGACTCATTTCCTTGACTACTTTCTTTCCATCTTCCATCTCCCTGTTTTTCCTTGTTTTCTGTTTGGTATTTTCCTTTCCGTTATTTTGTTTTATTTTTTTATTTTTCTCTTCTTACTCTCGTCTACGTAACGGTTACTCCGGCTCGTTTCATTATTTGTTTTCCTTTCGTACAACATACCGGTTTTCAGTAGGGCGAGAACTATACCCTTCGTTATTTTTCCTTCTTTTCTGCTTTTAGCGTGTTGAGTCATGTTGAGATGCTGGTCGTCTCTCTTATAATATCGGATCTTTCTTTAGGTAAGCTCTATCGACTTCATGCGGGGGAACATCATGGTATCTCGAATACATGGCTTAAAGAGGTAAAGGTGGAAGGGGCCATATGGATGGATGGATGAAAAGTCTCTTATATCTAATGCTAACTATTTGCTCTGCAGATGTTTCCTAATAGAATGTCTAGGGGGCTCCCTTCTTATATGCTACTGTTAATAATCGCACTCATTTACACCGTAACAGCGGCGCCCCTCAATTCGTCAGGAGGCCTCGATTCTTTCGTTCCTAGTTGCGCAATTCAGTGTTTCGATTCATTCCTTAATATCAGCTATGGAGACCAAACTGCGAGAACGTTGGCAGCGCTTTGTCCCCTCATTGGAGCATATGGATTCACCATCGGAGAGGCGGCCGTCCAGTGTCTGGTCGCGGAGAGAGCAGCAGGAGCGTGTTCTAATCAAGCCGCAAGCAGTAGGTTCCAGCGATACCCGGGATGATTATATGAATGAAAACTAACTAGCGAAAAAGATGCGGTGATTGATAAAGCCTACTTTATGTGTTTTGGCCAGCCTAGTGCTTTGTCGCCCACTCACACCGTCATCACAGCTACTCTTGCTATGCCGTTATATGGCACAGGACCGATTACGTTCCCAGCAGTCACCAAGACTAGCCACCAGACCTCGATCCCGACAGCAATCTCCAGAGAGACTCGGTCGTCGGTATCGCTTCCAACAACGCTGGTCAAGGATACGACTTCGTTATCTAAGCCTGGACCGCCTGTAACTGGATCTACAGCTAAACCTACGGCTACCACCACACTTAGACGAACAACCAAACCATCGACTACCGCATTTCGATCGTCGACGTCGTCTCAGGCCGAGGTTTTAACAACTGATCCAACGGGCCTGGCATTCACCAAGACTACCACAGCCACAACTGAGACCAGTACAAGTACCAATGTTCCCGATGGTATAGTTGGCGGACAGAGTGAAAAGAAGGCCTCGGCATCTCTCAGCAATGGACAAGTAGCTGGTATTGCTATCGGCTCTATTATCGGCATAGGACTTATCGGTGTTGGAATTGCACTCTTCTGCCGTCTTCGAAGAAGAAGATCTCAGTTTGGTAGGAAGATGAGAAAGGATGGACGGTTACTGAGAGATTCGTGGGGCCCAGAAAAGCCCAACGGTGGTGGAGGTACCGACTCCTGGATTGTCAATCAACTCCGAGCGCCTCTCGATCCTGGCCCTGTGCCTACTCCGACAAAATCGTGGTATAACAGAGCGAGCTGGAGGCCTAGCGCCATTGGACTGGCGATATCGCCTGCACGCACAAGAGATGTAACTCGGGCAACGACGCCAACATCGGCGAGGCCACTATCCAAACTGCTTCCTGCCAAACCGGTGATGGGCCAAGGACCACCCAGGCTGGAAGTATCGCTGCCTAGCCGAGACGGAGACTCTCATTTCAATGCCAAAGCATTCATGGGTGCGGCCGCAGCTGGTGCAGCTTCAGGAGCTGTCATGAGCGGTGCTATGGCTGCGTCCTCATCGCCTAAGCCTGCACCTCTACCCAAGGTACGGCCTATGGCGCAAGCCGCGACTCGTGAGCCAACAGCGACCAATCAATTCATCAAACCTCGAAATCTTACACCCCCTCGAATTGTGATCCCCCCTCCAAGTCTCGCATCTCCTCGAAGCAAGCCTCAATCGCCTTTACTGAAGCTGATCATCCCAAAGAAAGGGACCTTCAAACCCTTTGTGCCCATACCTGTCACCAACACGAGGCATGATAGTTCGACTACAGAATTTGAGGAGGATGGTAGGACGTCACTTTCGCCTGGTGGCCAAATCTGGAGGCCACCTTCAGCCGATCCTCTCTCAGCTGCCCCTTACTACGTTGCGGATAGGAATGGTAACTGGAAACTTGGTGACCCAAGACGAGCCCAGGAGATTGCAGAGCTCGAGGCCTCTATAAGCCCATTGACGGCTGCTCCCAAGTCTGCAGCACCCAAGTTAGTCGCTGGCCTAGGGTTGGCCTCAGGAGCAGCTGAGGCTTTGGAGCTTGTAAAAGCTGCATCTAGACGAGAGGCAACCAAAGCAGCCGCGAAAATCAAGGCTGCTGAACAAGCCAGGGAAGACGGCCTAGGCATAAGAATGGCCCCAGAGAAAACAATCAGAGCCGTTGAACCATCGCTTTCATCAGACGAAGAAATTCAAGAGCAGGAACAAGACCAACAACCATATGCTCCACGACCCCTTTTCTCGAACAACAGTAACAGCAGCAACGTCCCTCGCCGCTTGTCATCCCACCGTCGGTCTTCGACACGGTCTCTGACCCGTCCTCGAATTACTTCTACCGATAGTGGCGTGACCACTTTTTCGACTTCCACAGAAGATGATGCCGAGTTGAGATCACCACCCGGAATGGAGCAGTTGGGTAACCTCTCTCCTGTAGTTGAGTCTCCGCGGTCTCTACGACCTAGAAGGGGTCAATCGCCAACGCAATATCCCAAGATTCCAGCTAGCCTCAACGCCGCGATGCCCTCTTCGGGAAACTTGAACATTGAGATGGCTACTTCCAAGGGCGGAAATGCAGCAGCGCCATCCACTAAGCCTGCCACGGCCGATCGCCCTGCGCAGAAAAGCCCGAGTTTTGGAGCACCGCTCGCCGCTGCCACCATGTCTTCGAATGAAAATACAAAGCAACAGGGGAAGAGGCCCATGGGAAGTGATGCCATAGGAGCTCCCAACGCCATCAGAACCGGCTCGCCCATGATGAGAATGGAAGGCTCAACATCACAATCAGATGAAAGATATCAGGGGCCGCGCAGTCAAACATCTCAGCAACCCAACTTGTCTGCTCAGCCAAACGCCTCTTCTCGGCCATTTCCCCCACAGCAAAGCCAGCAATATCTTGCACCGGCTTACCAAAGGCCGACGGGTGCAAACAACTACCACATGCCCTACCGGCTCCCTCCTCACCCATCTGCCTACAGGCCCAACATCGATTCTTCTGGTTATCCGTACCAGACTCGCCTCCCAGAGTTCAACCAGGGCCCCATGACTTACAACATGTCCTACGCGCCTCAACCAAACAGATATCCGCATCACCATCCGCGTGATCACCAACCTCCCTTTACACAGCAGTCCTCTTCTGCCCGGCCTATTTCGCAGCTACCCCAACAAAGGCAACAGCCAAGCCAGCGGCCACAACAGCAGCCTCAGCAACAGCAGCCGCGAGCACAGAGATACCAACGGCCACCATCTCTAGGACGCATGCCGCCACAGCAGCAGCAGCAACAGGATTTCTACCCCCAACAACCTTCCACTTCTGCCTCCTCCCACTACCCAAGCGACATCCCCCAAGGCCCCCTCCTCACCAGCACTTCCACCTCCACCTCCACCACTTCCAGCACCGACTCCCAGTCATCCTCTCTGCTCGCCAAACGCCTCGGCACCTCCCGCGCCGCCAACATGGCCCTCCCCGTCCCCCAACCCATAACAACCTCATCCTCGCAAAACAAATGGCTTCGCCAGGGCCAACAAGGCCAGCAGCAGCCATCCACGCCGAAAATGCCTCCGCCGCCACAGCAACCCGCCGAGTTGCCCGCAACGCCCGTGTGGAAGCCGCGTTTGACGCCCACAAGACGCGGAGAGGACTTGTACTTGATTGCGCGGTAGAGAGATGAAGAAGAAGAAAGAAGAATCGGCCATATTTTCTCGAAATCTGTTACACATTACGTATATATCACACTCTTTTCGACACCATGTACACATATCAGGAAAAGTGGAAGAACGCGAATTTGAAGAATGGATAAAATTGAATGGAGAAGAGAAGAAGAGTCATAATTGGGTTTATGAAACTGGTTTTTGTTATTGTTTTTTTTTTGTTTGTTACCCTCTAATTTTTCTGTCTTCTCTTCTTTCCAGCTACTCTCACATGCAGCTTATGCTTCGTTATGACATCTGGTTAAGAGCATCAAGCATTTATGTACAGCTAATATTTCCTTTCTTTATTTCCTTTCTACAAGTCACAATTGGCTCCCAGGAGAGAGCTTCATGTACAATAGATAAATACAGCGCAGGGAGAGTCCTCGTTTTCTTTGTAGCAGCATATCAATTTGTGTGTGTATAGGTCAAAGAGGAATCGGTGTGTTAAGAATATTATTAGTGACTAGCCTAGGTAATTCAAGGATTTAAGAGCTTCCTGTCTCTCCTTCTCCCCTTACTGCTCGCGATACAACTTATTGTGACATCTCCGGCGAATTTCAGCGGCTCCTTCGATGATCATCCTGGCCTTCAGTTTCCTCCGCCACCGTTTGACTCATGACGCATTCTCGCTCCACGAAGCGCTTTAGAGATGGTCTGGATCCTGATGCCTGATTCCCCATGTTTACCATTTCAATATCCTGAGCTGACTCACTGGTTTCGTCTGATCGACGTAACCGTCTTGAGCCCCTCTTCTTTACACTTCCCAGCCCGAAAAAGTCTTCTACGTCGCTCTGGATATCGCTTAATTTGTCGTCCAACGCCTCCAGCCCTTGGTTCCACGCTGCTTGATTCAGATGGGCATTCTCATCAACCAACTTGTTCTTCTTTCGGATCTCTTGCCATCGTGACTTGCTGCCGAGCTCAAAGACATTCACCCTTCTCTTTTTGCCAATTGGATTTCCGAGCATAGCAGGCCGCCATGCTTTCTCCTCCTCAACTGCCGCTTTTTGATCATTGGGCATAGAAGCACGTCGAATGGTCGATCTTCGACGAGCCTCAATCAACCGATCCATCTCTTCCATCTTAGAACTCGGTACAATGAGCACCTCTGTAAATCGAGCCAAGATTAACAATAGCATGATGGTGAGAATGAAAAGAATGCCTGCTACTACTCCAGTAGCTACTTGTTGACCCAGGGTTCTGGTAACCAACCCACCAAGGGCGGTAGCACCCGCTGCAAAAATGAATGCTAGTGTATGAATAGCTGCAAAACCAGCAGTGACCCTTGGGAACGATGAGAAATTGGTGCGCTTCTCAGACTTTCCTGATTTGCTGCGTTGGCGTCCCGTCATTCCAGGTGAAAGATCAGAAGTATCGAAACATTCCATCACTAAACCATTGCACTCTGCAATTGCCAAGCATGATAGGAGTCCTATGCAAAATGCAAAGACGGTTGGCACTCCGACGTGCATCGGAGGTCCAGAAGATACGGCAGCGTAACATACTCCCGCCAAAGGCAGTAATATGGTAAAAATTGTGCGTCGAACGAGATGTGACGACCACGCAACCTTCTTGTCCATAGTTGCCTTGTTGGTGTTTAGCTGCGCTTGGCGGGATCGCGAAAAGAAGCTGGCTTTCTGAAACGGAATGGCCAAGATGGCTCCAAGAGCAACGCTGCCAACAAGCAGACCCACGTTTGGAGATCGAAGTTTATAAAATTTGGACGTCAACGATCCCAGTAGCACAATGGTTAATACCACCTGTGCGTAGATCCACGCAGAGTAGAGGGCGAGGATCAAGAAACCAGGCTGACGGAGCATCTCCAGAGTGAGAAGAATACCATGATAGACCTCTTGCCCCCACCATTTCGGACCGGTCTTGACTCTGTGCATCATGATCTCCCCTCGAGCCACGCGGCGGGAAATATCACCATTAGTCCTTACTTCTGCCACCGATCTTCTGAACGCAGACCGGCGGACTTCGGGACAGAGGACATTGAGGAAGAGCACAACAGCAATCATGATGATGCTGATATAGAAGCCCCATGTTGGCGGATACTTGTCAATCACGCAAGCGCCAACAAAGAAACCAACGCCAAGGGAACCAATCCAGCACCAAGTCCAAATGCCCAGCCAAACGCCCATACCACCGCCATGCCGCCTTGCGTCGTAGTGATCAACTACCTCTTGATGGGGATTTGTGCTCATGAGCGATGCGCCGAACAAATCTGTCAGTATCGAATGAAAATTCATACTAGCAAAACCAAGTGAGGCTCCCATTAATGCTCGAGACACAAGAAGTGTAGCTCTCCACATCCCTGTGTTGGTTAGTCTCTGAGCGTTGACTGCGAGTGCTTGAGGAAATAGGAGAGGCATGGCAAGGACGAGACTCGCCATGATGTATGGCTTCCGTCCATGCAGCAATGGAAGTGGCCACAGGAAAAAGGTTGGTAAGGCTAGACCTAGAAAGCAGCCCGTGTTTCCATGGACTGTGGCATGAGACTGATCGATGATGTAGTATTGGATTGAAGGAACTAATCCAGCATAAACACCTAGAATAACGCCAATCAATGCGGTACTGATACAGGCAACAGTAGCAACGAATCTCTTTCGAATTGGTGACCAATCTCTGGCTGTGGGTTGCCGTTTGGCTGACTTGGCTAAGCTGAATCCTTGGGCACCCCGTAAACTGACATGAGATCGGCGCCGAAGGCTGATTCCGTGATCGGCATGCGGTCGACGACCAGCAGCCTCGCGCCCTGAAGGATCGTCCTCTCCGGACTCGTGCGAAGCATGGCGTGCATGCGAACCTCTTGGTTTCGACTTGACTTGACGGGATTGGCTTTTTACGGTAGCACCCTTCGCCCCTTTTGCCAAATCATCGTACTGCCTTTTACGATTGAGTTTTTGTGTCCTGTCTGAAGCCTTGCGAGGACCTTGTGAAGCAAAGCCAATTCCTTTGCTGCTGGATCTTCTTCCTGGTACAGCCAATGATGCTTCGGCTACGGCCTGAGGCGGTGCCGCTTCCTGAATCGGAAAATTCGTAGCAGTTGCATTTTCACCTGTATTGGAGTAGTTTTGCAGGATTTCATTTAACCGCGGACGTTCGGGAGCGCCTGTGTAGGAGGCTGCATGTTGGTATAATGGTCTCTTCAACTGGCTGTCGTCGTGGATATCCACATCCTCAAGCCTACCGGGGCTCTCATGAGTACAGTCTGATGTGCCATTATCTTGAGAAGCTCCATCTTGGCCACCGGGGACACTATGACAGCGAGAATGGAGAGTGATGGATGCCCGGTGGGGTTTAGGGCAAGAAGGACTGTCAGCACTCTGCACCACTTCTGAAGCCAATGCGATAGCTTCATTCATTAGCTTTTCGAGGTCATTGACCGCGCGTTGAAATATCAATGGATCGATCCTCGGTTCAGATCTTCTAGAATGCGAGGAAAGACCCGTCATACGGCGGGAGTGGTGATTGCTGGGTAACGCTGTATCAGACTGCCTTCGTTGCTCTGCTGACGAGGATCTTTTGGATTGAATTTTTGGTGGCAGCTCTGTGAACTTGGAAGTATAAGTTTCGGGATACTTGAGGATTTCACGTAGCCATTGAGCAGTGCGCTTGTAATCCAGCGTTGAGCCAAGAGAGTGCGTTCGCGCGGACGCGCCATCGGACATTTGTCTCTGTAAATTTCCCTCCTATGAGTGAAGAGACTGACCCAATCCCATCTGAAGATGGGGCTTGTCTTGAGTGACTGTGGCATAGGGGTCTTGTTGAACAGGCTCAATCTTGGATGCTGAGGAATGGCTTTCGCGCCCACTTGACGAAGGCTGAACTGTAAAAAAGGGACGGATCTTCGAAACAGGAATTGGAGAGTAAATCACATGCTCAGAAGGGGTATATCTTCTGTCTTCATATGGAAATTGAGCTCCAATATCTTGGATTTCGGTCTCATTCTCTATTTGTGGGCTTTGATGACTATGTGAAAGTGCCATTTCAAATTCTCCCATGGTCCTTTTTGGCAAAATTCCGTCTTGGCTTTCATGGCCGGGAGACTGATCAATATTTCCGACTGCAAGATGCTCTGAGCCAATGTTTGTTGAAGGAAACTGATGAGGATGCAAGGTTTCGTTGCCATCTGTTCCAGCCCACGGCTTGACCTTTAACTCACGGCTGTGGTATTGATGGCCATCTTCTGGGTGTAGCTCGGGCAAGAAAGCTCGGATTTTGGAAGATGGAAACACAAGCCCTTGAGTCTCTTTTGTGTAGTTTTCAACATCATCTCTGTTTGGTCTTACTGTAAGCTCAGGGCCATCGATACCTGAGTCAAACGTCTGGACCTTGTTGGCAGAGCGGCGATAGTTAAGTCCTCCAAGAGTTACTGGATGATGTGAAGGATAGTAGGAGAAAGCTGGGCGAACTTTGACTGCAATGCTGTGACCTTTGTGACGGTGGATAGGTACTGTCACTTCGGTGACGGAAACATCACCACTGGACAGCACCCGATGCATCTCACCGCTTATCATGGAAATATCGGATACTGGAGATGATGGCTGTGTCGAAGAAACCTAGCTTCGATATCCTGTTGAGTGGACTCCATAATCACAGAAATCGGCACCCTCCAGCAGCCCAGGATGGTGTGTGTCGGCATGTGTGTCGTAGTCGTGCAGGGAAGCAGCATTAACACGCTCTCGGTCGTTGGGCCGTATTGGGGACGAAGGAACTAGTATCTTGTCTTGTCGAACGGCAGCGGAGCTTAGCCGGGGAAGCGCGGATGCAGGTCTGCTCGGGACGACGCCTCGATTTTCGAGCTCTGGCGTGGACGATAGGCAGGGCGTCTTGATAGGGGGAGATCGACTGACCACCGGTGGCGCGGGCAAGTCTCTGTCGACAAGGGTCGGGCCGCTGCTTGAAGTCTTCAGCAGGTGGTGTCTAAATGCAGCACTCCTGGCAGCGGGTATTTCGGGTATATCAGCTGTCTCGTGGCTTTCTTCGGGCCTCAGCATGGTAAGGGAAGCGCGGGCGCTGGGGGCGGGCGTGTGATCGAAGTCGCCAGCCTCCATGTCGACTTGATATTGGGGCTGCTGGACCTGGGCGTAGTGGGAATATGTCAAGAGCATTGCCACCTCGTCGACTCCCACCCTTGTTTGTGAGTAAGGTAGGTAGACAGTAGATGCTCGTATACAAGCTGGGCAAAGAGGCGTGTGTTGAGTAGGCGCAGGAGTGTCGAGCGAAGAAAGGGGGCTTGGACCGGGGGCAGCAGATTTCAAAAGTTCGTTCGGATCTGGTGGATCTGCTATTCGACGAAATATTTATTCAGAAGTAAGCGGCGATATCGTGGCTAAACGGTACGGGATGGTGCGGCAGGGAAGAAGAAGACTGATGGCCTTTCGGCACCAGAGTGCAGGCAAAGCCCTGAAACCATGCGGCTTCTGCTTGAGTTAAGATTCTGGTTTAAAAATACATGTGAAACTTGCACAGGACGAAGAGAATAGGGATGTAGCACGAGGAAAAAGATGCGGAAGAGGTCGGAGATGGGCGAAATGATGTGAAGAGAGTGTCGAGCTGGGAGAGTGGCAATTTGGCAGCCAAATGCAGCTTATCCTTATCTGTGTCTGTTGACATGCGAAACGAGGCCGAGCCGAGACGTTGGGGATGCGCCTTCCCTGCGAATCCCAACTGCCTGGGTACATGTACATGTATCTCTCTCTGTGCGTGTATCTCTGTCACTTTTGTTTGGGGGCGGAACCAACTACCTATCCCAACTATGGCCATTCGGAATGCAGGGACAGTACGGGACAGTAGGGGGCAAAAGGGGCGACCTCAGAGCCGGGACGGCAGCGTAGCAGTGGCAAACATCTGCGCTGCAACGGCGGCGGGTCTTCATGACAAGTTGCAGCAGAAGAGCTGAGCAAGCTGCTTAGTTGAGCTGCCTGACTAGTAACAACAAAGGATTCATAATATGCCCCTTTTAGGCAAATATAAGCCTATCCCGTTTGATCCTTAGAGCTGGCACTCAGAGACGGCGCACAAAGAGACGCGAGCTACAGACAGAAGAAAGCCCGGCATCACGAGTCTGCTTCGTCTCCCATCATACGACAACTAAGAATCTACGAAACAACTACTAGATAGGTCAGTAGATGATAAATGGTGGATTAGTGTCTACCTATGCCTCCCAGGCAGGGGCAAGGTCAAGACCAAGATTACATCGTTGACGCCTGGCCAATGAGGACTTGGGAGATTACAAGGACCAGAGCTTGGCTAAATGATGCTCTGCCACTAATAGTACAGCTTAGCACTTGCTCTTTCAAAGACAAGGTAGACGCAGACTATGTCTCTCACCGCAATACAGCCAGCTGGGGGATGCGGAGCAGATGCAACAGATAACCTTGCAAGTCCGATATGCCTGCATGTTGCATGCATATTCACGGCTCAAGCAGGTACGTGACATGAAAAGCACTACAGTACTACTAGTAGTAGTGTTGCTAGGTAATTGGTACAAGTGCTCGGAGCTGGCCTAAATTCGTCTACTCATCATCTCCCTATTCTCGAAAGGCGCGGCCCCCCAGCAGTTGTCGTAACCGTCTCCTCATCAGCCTCCTTTCTCGGAACTGTAACAACCCACCCATGCAACGGTTGCAATCTTTTCTGCAGCTACTATTGCAAGCATCAAGCATGTGTTTCGCTACACGACTATACGGTCGCACACACCAGCCAGCCATTCAGCCTTATAAGTATTAACCGTGTGGTAAGGAGGCTTTCCGGCGCATATGCAGCCAAAGCCTCATACCACACAAGGCCGCTCAGCTGAAGCCTCTCCAACCAAAAAACACACCCCTCCACCTCCTCCGCATCCTCCTCTCGTATGATGAAGCTCGACCCGACGACATCTCGGAGACCCCCCTTCAGTCGGGTCGCACAGCCATCAAAGTCAGAATATGATTCTTTACCGTCATAATTGTAGTTGTGCCAGTCTGACGTGTTCAACAACTGACACGAGAAGGAGGAGCGTGGCTCTGGGCCGCTCGGCTCGGCGGATAGACCAAAAAAGTGAAGACAGTTCGTCGGCCGAAGCACAATCATCCATCCAGCCAATGTCGATCGCTGCTGACACCCTCTCACAGAAAGTTGCCAGGCACCAGAAAGCATGTCCTAAATTGCCTGCCACTCTTGCGTCCTAATCGAGCCGCTTAGGCCGATGCAACCCCCTCCTTCTACCTATGCAGCCACACACCAGGCCAGAATCCTCCCGGACATGCTACCGAAAGCTGCCATCTCGGCATGTAGGACACGTGAATCTATGTAGCCAGTATTAAGCAAAGAGAAAAAGTCCAGAAAGAATCCTCCCGAGGCATGACTCCCTATGACAGCTGTGCGTTGTACGAGCAGTCCTACGCCATTCATATCTGGACAATACGGTCGTTTCTGCCTGGAGCAGCAGGCTGCAAGTCGGTTGTGACAGTCAGCCAGACGGCAGTCTGGCTGACTACATAAAGGTCAATACTTACTATAGCACTGAGCCCCAATCAGAGGCAGGACTTTGACTATCCGTTTACGGCATGCCGAATGGATTCTCCCAGCGGCAGAGCTAAGCCAAAAGAAAAAGAGAAAGCAGCCAATGCGAAACCCAAGATGCGGAAATCGCGACAATACCACCAGGCCCTATTGGCATCTGGTCTGGCAGCCGGCCTATGCCCCATTTGCTGCACAGAGCCTCAACTGGCAGGGAGCCCTGCTGCGAGCATGTACCAGTACGGAGCCGGTGCAGGCATTCGATGTGACACGTCTGTCTTAGTACCTGCCGTTACTCTGTTGGCAGGGGAAACCCCCAGCGCGCCGGGAAAAAGACGCTGGGCGGCGCTGCAGGGGTTCCCCGTCCAGTTCCCAAGGCCGCCTGCCGTACCCCCGTGCTCGGCTCAGCCCACGCCCAGCGTTCTCAGCACTCGACTGATGTCGATATGATGCCGATTGCTGTTTCGGCTGGGGAAACATTGGACGACAAGCGCGATCCACCGCCAGATAAAATTAGGACCAAGCTAGCATTGCAAAACAAGCGCGGCCGCGCATACGGCGTGTCTGACTACGGTAAGGTTGTACAGTATACATCAATAGCAGTAGCGTTCAATGGTGTATGGCATGATATGATATACAGCACGCGAATCATCGTCATCTTGCGCCCCATCCGATCGCCCGCGTCAATGTGCGCCTAGCCCAGACGCGCTTGCGAATCTGCCCTAGGGGGCCGTTCGTACGACTGCAAAGCCCCGGCAGCGGTGTCCCGTTCGGCGACCCGGATGTACACTTATGGAAGCCAGATATGGCATTGATGCATCTGCTTGTATGCATCTCCCATGCGCCTACAGGCCGAATCTCACGCCTACCCTCCCTATCCCAGCGCCCTGGAACCAATCAAGGCGCAAGCCGGCGAATAGCAGCATGGGAGAGGATCCCGCCGCTTGACGTCCCGTGCTGAGAATTGCACATACAGTAACATACCTGTAAGACAGAAATGATGCATTTTTTCTTCTACATGATCGGCTTAGTCTACATCCATCTCTGCTCTCTACCTAGCTTAGGTGACATCGCTTAACCATTGCCCTCGAAACCTACAATAGGCGCGCGAAACAAACAAAAAAAGGTAAATAGGGCCAAAATGCTGTCAGACATTTTCTATAATAAGCAACCGACCTTGGCCCTAGCAATAAGCTCTTTCATGCCTCATGTTTTAGCGGCAAACCATTCCCAGTCTAAAACGAAAAGAATTCCCCTTCCACTTGCCTTCCCCTGCCCTTCAAGCGCGCAGCCGCCTGCTAAAAAAGCCCCAGCCAACCCACGCGCCACACCTGGCCCGATTTGGCAAAGACTTCTGTCTGTACTGAGACAGAAGCAAACAACACATTCTAAAAATAGCACCGCACGAAGCTTTCCGCTCTCTAGTCTCAGTTTCTTTTTGGTAATATCCTGTCCCTTAGGAACTACACCGAGATTAAGGTAAGAGAGAGCGCATACAGGACCATTCAAGTAAAACAAGGTTGGTTCCGACCCCAAAACACTGCGCCCCATTATTATCTTCCTCTCCAACTCCGGAAAGGAAAAATGGAAACCACATATCGGCCCTTTGCTTATTTTCAAGACTCATCCTGAAGCTATATGTGCCCCTCCCGAAAACAGTAGTACACACCAAATTATAGTAGCTCGACTTGGTAACTCCTTCGATATTCTGTACTAAGAACCTTAGAAGACGGTTATCGCGGAATTATTGCCGCGACTAATATTTTTTTTTCCCCGTCTCCTTCTTACATGATAGATAATAGTTTTGAAATATGTGATCATGGTTCATCTCAATTTTGCTTGCAAGTATATTGAGGCAAAGATACGCCAAAAGTAGAGTACATACAAAAAGTTATATTGCAGCGGGGCAGGTTAGCAAACTTGGCACATTTCATTGAACCGTAGTGACGGAGCTGCTGCCATTCCTGTAATCTATAATATCGGCAGTTGGTAAAGCGGGTGCCCGGTTTTTTTTCTCGGTCTACCATTACCCCGTTGGTGTTGGTCTCCACGGAAGACCGCCCACAGTAGACATGTACTATCAGTCGGAAAGGAAAATCAAGACAACTGAATCACATTGCGAAAGGTATGGAGCATATAAAACGTGGTTATAGAATATTTGTTCTATTGATTCGGGAGCATCCTGATGCTCGCCTTGGCTATAAAAAGAAGTAGCGGTGGTGCCAGCCACCGATGTCACTGAGACATTGCGCGCTGCGCAACTCATCTAGTAGGTACATGTACCTGATAAGTAAAAAACAATTGAGAGGACTGGTAGTACAACTGTAAGAAAACAAAAAGCGAAAGAAAGCAAAACAAGCCAAAAGCACAGAAAAAAGAAAGAAACAAAGTAAAACATGGTTATTTGAGCAGAGAAGAGACCCCATTCTCTGCGGTGCACACCCAACAAACGCAGCACGCTCAAATAAGACATTACCAAGTATCAACGTATGCAGCACCAGGCGCATGACGTGGTCCTTTCACGAAGAGAAAAAGAAAATCCCAAGCCCAGTGTAAATGGTCCAAAATATCCAGAAACCCAAAACAAGAAAAACAATAGCCAAAGAAAAAGACTAAAAGGGGGGAAAGAAAGAGGTGCAAATCCAAAGTGAACGAGATGAGGTAGTCTATGCCATGCCATGCCGTGTATCCCGTGTATCCCGTGGCCAATCCAGTTGACCGAAAGGGCCCAAGAAAAGTGGACGGAGCTCTTCCAGAGTCGCCTCGCGGCGATCCGAGAAGGCCCCGTCTCAAGAAAAAAGAGACAAGGTGAAAAAGGAAGGCTCGAAAGAGAAAGTCATTGTGTTCCCAGAAACGGCCGTGTCCCTCATTTATCGTACTCAAAAATCAAAAGATGACACAAGAAAAAGTCCCGATCCCATGATCCCATATGCTATGCAATGTAAAAAAAGGCAGATAAATATAACAGAAACGGATAAGTTTCGCGATCGAATGAAAACCAAGGTGCTCGAAATGTCGTAGATGAGAAAGTGATATAGGTACTTGGCGCTTCATTCCGCATCAATCGCTAATGCCTGAACCAAGGTATGAGGCCGTGTGAAGGAGGTGGAGTCGTCGCTTGTGGCGCATCATAAAATCATTCGGAACATGCTCCGGGGGGGAAAGTCAATTCGTCAATGTCTCATTTCCGTGTCTTCAGTAACGTCGTGAAGGAGGTTGGAGGAGGTCGAGCGAGGAAGAGAGGTGTGAGATCCGTGAGAAGATCAAGTTCATGTGGGAGCACGATGAGACGTTGCGCTTTGGCGGCGGTGGCGGACGAGCAAAAGGACAATCGACGACGGATTGGCAGAGTAGAGAAACGAGATCCAGTCGTTGAGCTCGAAGCGAAGCAGCCGCGGGAAGCGCAATATCTGAGGGCCCGCTACCGAAGACAACACCCATCATCGGTAGCTCTTGCGGCTGGAGCGGCCGCCGCTACCGTAGCCAGAATCCGAATATGTAGATTCATGTGCGTACTGAGCGCTGTGGCCGGTATGTGCGCTGCAGGCATAACCGACGTAGATTGTGCGCTGCTCAATGTTGTGGCCCGGTCTTCCGTATGCCGCGCAGCGGTCAATGGCGTGCTGGTAGTAGAGGCAGCGGCAAGCTGAGTAGAGCTCAACAAGCTGATAACACATGATGGCTTATATTGGTGTCGGAGCAAGAGTATATGGCGTTGGTCGACGAATTGGACAAGGTTGCATCCGAAGACACAGGCTGGAAAAGGGCGATGATTCGCCGGCGGAGAGAACCCGGTCTGATGCCGTGGGCCAACAACGGTTGTTGGAAGCAAAGATGAAGATTGACGGCAGTTGCTTGCCCTTGCTTGCTGTTGGTTGAGAGCTGTTGGGTTGTGTTGTGTTGTGTTGTGTTGTGTTGGGTTGTGTGTTGTGTTGTTATGTTGGTGGGAACTGATTGATGTAGATTGATTGCCTCGACAAGATTGATGTTGGTTTCGAGGTTGGCGCTATAGCTCTTTATAAGACGAGCAATGCTAGTACAAGGAGCAGGACAGAGGAAAGAAACCGACAAGGATAGACTAGACAGGACAAGACAAGACAAGAGGAACAGGAATAGGAAACCGATCTCTAAAGGAAACTGCCGGGGGGCGATGATGAGGTGGGAGTGTGACTGATGAAGTGCAGGCAGGGTCAGGACTGGAGGGACGAGGCATCGCAGCCTTATAGCTCGTGCATCGCAGCCTGGGCAGAGCGTAGGCGGGAGCCGGAGCAAGAGCAGGAGCAAGAGCAAGAGCAAGGTGTCAAGGTGTCAAGGTTGGGGTGATCGGTGTACAGGATGGAGGAGTGCCTGAGAGCAGGACTGAGGCGTGCAGAGCAGGGGCCTGGCCGTCTTCAAAAGCGATCCTGGATGGCAGGGCCGCTGCGGGAGGCGTGCGGCCGGCATGGCTGGGACGCACGGGGAGCTGGTGATAGCTGCACGCCCCGCCGCAGCCATTGCTAGCACTGAGCTAACGTCGCCAGAGAGGCACAAGCAGGCCAGTATGTAATCCATCGGATGGCTCTGGGGAGCAAGGGTCCCTCCATGGTCCCAAACCCTCGTCTCTGGACCGCGTGCATGTATAAATGTGGATTGCGGGAGGGCTGGCTGCGCGGGTGGAGCGCCAGGCAAGGCGGAAAAAAAACCAGATGAAGACGCTGTTGCAGATTACATGTACCTACTGGCGGTATTAGTCGTCGCAGCACGTCGACTCTGACTAAAGCAGATGAGGGTAAGGTAAGGTAAGCAGGTGGGCGCTGCACACAGGACCCAGGTCAGCACCAGAGCGGCAGGGTTCTCGCAAGTAGACTGAGTCGCGCCGCTAGCCACTGAGTAGGTACATGTAGCGAGCGGTGTTGCGAGTGCTCTCTGATGGTTCTGCTGCGTTCTGCTGCTGGTTGCGAATGGTGGCAGTGGCAGTGAGTGGCATGCCCTCGGAATACTGTCGGCAAGCTTAGGAACACGCACTTGGAACGAGTAGTGGCGCGGAATGGATTCGAATCAAATTTGATACTGATTAATACGCTGGGGCAGCAAACTGGAATACTTTTGACACCGGCGCTGTATTACATCGAGTGCAGCGCAGCTAGCTGCAGGGCGCAAGGCACCAGAAATGATGCCAGTGGCGGATCAGCCAGTCGTGGACGAACCATGGCGCCCCGAAAAACGAACCTGCCGACCGAAGAGGGCCAAGCGACGAGTCTGACCGCTGCTGCTTGACAGGTGACGCCGTTTGCAGCGACAAGCACTCGTACGAGCACTCGCACTCGCCCAAGCAGCACAAACAGCGCGGCCGCTGCAGGGTTGGCGCGCGGAATACGGAGCAGACAGGATGTCCATAGGGCGTGGCGGTCTTCGGAGCCGTTCGCCTCGGCGAGCAGGTTTCTTGCTACGGGATTCAGATACAGTACAGTCGTAGATACAAAAATACAAATACCAGGCCGGGTGCACTCGTGTAAGGTGCGCTAGTCGGCGAGTAGGACGGCGAGCAGGGCTTCTTCGGGGCCTGGAAGAGTCACCCGGGTCCTTGGCCCTTGACTAGGGGCGTGGGAGAGCAAAAGAGCCTTTGGGGGCCTGGAAGTTGACCTGCAGCAAGGCTGAACTGGGGGGGAGGGCGACGAAGTGGTGTGCGGCTTGTCAGCTCGTCCTCAGCAATCTGGAG